ATGCAATAAAATATATATATATTTTTTTAAAAGGACATCTCCTGATTATCATAATTCATAATTTACACAATTGTTGTGAGAAGTAAATAATAGATGTAAAGCACTTGGGAATTTCCTGGTAAATATTAAATGCCTGATTAATGTTAAAACACACAGACAGATCTTTATAAAAACTTCAGGGTGCCTTTCGTGCCTGTGGGGAATTTGAACATTCCCAAGACAGCATGTGAGCGTCCGCTGCTGCCCTCCAGGAATTGGTATTAATGTCTGACTTATTTACAAACCTCATGTTATCAGGATGGATACATTCTCTTATTTTTGTTTCTTCTCCTTTCTTCCATTCTTCTTTTCCTGATCTTGTAGATTACCTATAGTTTTCCTGCTGATCTAGATGAATCTCTTGCCATGAAAAGGGTACGTGGGAGAGATAAAAACAACCCCCCCCCCTTTTATTTTTGTTCACAGAAATCTCCAAGAAAGTTGTTGAAAACATTTACAGTTATAGCTTTTTGATGATTCAAAATTGAACCATTTAGGTACCTAATTAGCAGAAAATTGGGGATATGGATGGAAGATACATTCACGGGTGTGTGTAGACATTACTTGGGTCTGTCAAATGCTGGCTGCCACAAAATACAGCCAAACTAATCTACTGATAAAACGAAACTGAGTTCACCCTCACAGAATCTTACCAGCATGTGAGGAAAGGGGGCTGGCAAGCAAGGGGTATTTATGTGATTCGAGGGTCTGGCTTAAGGAGGGCCATGATTAGCCTCACAACTTAGCACAGTAGGGGAAAGACACGCGGCAAAGCCAAGGTTTCAAAGAGTAAACAACCACTTGTCGTGACTGAGTGTCCTGAGAAGGGGTATTTATTCTGAGAGTACATTGAGTAGTTCTAGCTTTATCTGGTTCGGGTAACTGGATTGTTAGGAAGTTCTTGGAACAGGTAATGAAGATATTTTCCATTTTTTATTTTGGGCAAGAATTTCCTGGAATAGTCCATTGAGGTTAATGGAGCGGGTCCCACAGTAGAGGCTCGTCCATGGAAACGCTGACCCGTGGCCCAGGCACACAGCCAGCGGGCTGGGTGTGGATGTTTTTGGTCCTTGAGACTTTGATGAGGCCCAGAACTTGAGCGTTCCTCTCTCTCGTATTTTTGAAATTCAAGTATACTCGTCTCAGGGATCGATATTTATGAAGATTTCTGACGACTAAAAGTTTGACCCTTTAAGAGCATTATTAAAGTACATCTTAGTACATTTTGAGTTGCTGTAAAGAATACTGGAGGCTGGATAATTTATAAAGAAAAGAGGTTTATTTGGCTCACCGCTTTGCAGGCTGTACGCGAAGCCCTCTGCCGGCGTCCACTCTGCCGAGGGTCTCATGGGGAAAGGTGAAGGGGGCCTGGTCTGTGCAGAGGGCACATGGTGAGAAAGGAGGCAGGGTGGAGTGAGGGGCCCAGCTCTCCTTAGCAGCCAGCTGTCTCAATGAATGGAATGCGAACTCACTCACTTCCCACCCTCACAAGGGGATTAATCCACCTGTACCGAATCCATTCTCATGACCGAAACACCTCCAATTAGGTCCCACCCTCAACACTGGGGATTAAATTTCCACACGAGGTTTCGGGAGTCGAATTTCCAAACCAGAGCAGCATGACATCCCGGAAGTGCCGCTCACACCTTCGAACATCTAAGCCATGAATCTCACCCTGGATTTCATTTAAAACCGAACGAGGCCATCAGTCACAGAAGGAAAATGACCACGTTTATATTTGCGAATATACATCTGAGTGGAAAACGCCACTAAAACAGCAGCTGTTTCTGAGAAGCAGGACACTTTACATTCTCTTTGTGTTTTAAATATTTAATAGCTGGTAAAGGTCGGGGCAAAGGTCTTTTCATTTGTCCGGGGCTAATTCAAAACTGTCAAACATACACACAGCAGCTAATGACGAAACAGAACAGTTACATTGTGTTGCTCTAAATACAATATAAAAAATGAACGATTTGCGTATTTCTTACTTTTGTCTGTGTATTATAACCCATATTAAGAATTTTCAATCCCAATCATCAAATGCATTACTAAGATGTCACATTTTTTTATGATATGCTTTTGCCAGACAAACGCATCATAAAGTGCGGCGTAAATGTGAAAATGACGCTTCTTTGAACAACTTTTCCTGGAACGGCGATTTCCTGGTGTGTATCTCAACTGTTTCTTGCCTAATGACTCTGTCCACAGAGGCTGCTAAGGTGCTGGCCAGCACAGCAAGTAGGCTAAATGCAGTCTTGGCGGCCTGCAGAAGGGACCGGAGCTGGCCTCTGGGTCAGAGTTGAGTTGAATCCTGATCCTGGTACTTATTATCTCTGGGGCATCAAACAACGATTCGAGTTCATGCTCTCCAACCCTTGCTTTTCTGTGAGTATGATGCTCATCATCATATTCTGTTGCAGAGTGGCCATGAGACTTACAAGAGGGAATTTAAGGATGTACTCGCTATGTAGTGTTAAGATTTAGGAATCCTGGACTATGTCTGAGCCCTGGCATGTATCTTAACCTTACCTCATTCTTATTTTCCTTCCTCCAGATGAAACTACGTCTGATGGGTGACGAGACAGATCCTGTTGGTCAGAGCATCTAGGTCTCGAAGTCTACACGGGGCTCACTAATTTCTAGATGTGTGAGGCACTGAGCCCTGCTATTGTCCTGATTATGGAAGGACTATCCACCCTAGAACTGGTTCTGTAAAAACAGCGAGAAAGGGGCTTGCCCTGCTTTCAGCCAAACACATCTGGGGTCGAATCCCGGCTGCACTGTTTCCTGGTTTTATGTCTTGAGCAAGTTACTAGCTTTGCTAAACCCCGGTTTCCTCATCTGTTTAATTGTGCATGGTGATATTTGCTTCGCACATTTCGTGAGATGAAGTACACAAAACATCGATTGTGCCTGACAGCGTGGATAGTCATTAGCCAGTTAAATCTGCTTACTTTATAATTATCTGCTGAACAATGAGAGGAAATAGCAGGGCACTTTTCCCAGACCACAAAATGAATGTAGCGTGTGAAAAGAGATGTAGAAAACATTAGTTTTTACAAATATTAATAAAATATTTACATACCATAACAATTTAATTTTTAAAACTTTTTCTAATGGTGCAAATCAAAGAATTATTCCCCCTTCCTTTGTATTCAGTTCCGTGGTTCCAGTAGAAAGATTTTGGTCCTGTCTGAGGCCCCAGGACTTTTCATGGGATGGAGGGTTCTCTATAGGCCGGCCTGAAAATGCTCACAGGAACACTCGCAGCCAGATTTTATTTGTACCGTATTTACATACACAGCACTGAATACTATTCTGTTGCCCCGATGTCTGAAAACGAAAACACCTGAATTCCTGGAACAAAGTAGCTGCAGTGAAAATCGGATGTTTTCACTCTCTGATTTTAAATTTGTCTTCCACATGCTGAAGTCTGTGGAAATTAGACGTCTTCAGCATAGCCGTCTTCACTGTGACCCCCTCCTCTCCCACTCACCTGGGATCTGGCCTCTCACCGCCTCACTTCCCACCAATGTTTCAACGTTTTAGGTACGTGAAGCTGATGCCGTGCTTTTGCACTTGGTGGTGTCACTGCCGGCAGCACCTTTTCTCAAACTTTCCCTGCTGAATCAGGAGCAGTATTCTTCGCAGGAAATCCAGGTGTGTTAAGTAGCCTCCACACGGTTTTCACAGGAGCCTGTGTGCACCCAAACTGAATACCTGCTGCTGTTTCATTACCTCCCACGGGGCTGAACTCCCATGGGAGTAAGGAAGTCGGCCCAGCATAAACGTGTTCCAAGTACACATCTTTTTGATGAATGGATGACATGTTGGTGAGAGTTGCAGACGGCACTCGTTGATATAAAATCCCAATCACAGGCCAGGCGCGGTGGCTCACGCCTGTAATCCCAGCACTTCATGAGGCCGAGGTGGGTACATCGCCTAAGGTCAGGAGTTCAAGACCAGCCTGACCAACATGGTGAAACCCTGTCTCTACTAAATACAAAAAATTAGCTGGGTGTGGTGGCAGGCACCTGTAATCCCAGCTACTTGGAAGCCTGGGGCAGGAGAATCACTTGAACCCAGGAGGCGGAGGTTGCAGTGAGCCGAGATAATGCCATTGCACTCCAGCCGGGGCAACAAGAGAGAAACTCTGTCTGGAAAAAAAAAAAAAAAAACTCCCAATGACGGCAAGATGCACATGCCTGGCTAAGGGTAAGCTAAGAGCCTGGCTGAGCAGATTTGCATTTTGCAGTCCATTTTATGTGCATCTTCAGCACCTGGATGTGGTGCCCAAATGAAAGCTGTTATTGTGCGTTAATGGTTCTGTTTTGGCCCCTGGTAAACGAAGGTCTCCCAAGCACAACTCTGACTTCCCTTCGGTCCATCTAACTTCATTAATGGGTTAAATAGATTTTTTTAGCCAAGTCTAGTGTAAGTGTAAACTATTCTAGAGATGTATAAATCAGGGCAGAAACTGAGAAATTAAATTAGGCTGATGGTCTGACACGAGATAGAAAAAGCCTGCACGCAGAAAAGGTGCTATCAATAATTTATTATCATTTTTCTTTAATTTGAGTTTCTTTAACTTTAACTCATATGAATCTAGAGATACACTCCATATCCAGAGTCATTTTGGAATCAGGACGGTGGGCCCTCTGTCTTATCACTTATTAGATCCCAGTGAATTTGCTGCTACTGCTGGCAAAGGTGTGCCTTCTCTCCAAGCCCCCATTCTGGAGGTGAATGCCACATCAAAGGCAGTGTCAGCTCGTCAACTGACCCAAGGTCTTGTCCACTTGAAGGCAAGCAGACTGGCTGTCAGAGCAGAGAAGTCTCCGAATGACTGGCAGCTTCCAGTGCACTCGGGGGACCGCACCAGGGCTTGTTCTGAACAGTGGATTCCATGGGAAGGGGGTACCAGGCGCCGGATAAGAGCCTGAGAAAGATCACATCGAAACTCGTTATCAATTTTTATTTCCTACCATACACCAAATGTACAGCACTGAACACGATTTTGTTGCTTTGATGTAAGAAATATTAAGTGTTTGGAGAAACAGTATACAAACAAGCTACTTCAAATTAAAAAAATGCATACATCATTGCCTTTTCTGTCGTTTACAACAGACCCAATTTACAGTATTGATCATTAACAGAGTTGAAAAGAAAACAAATTCAGTGCACGTTTCAAAACACATCAAGTACAAAGGAGGCAAATAAATACAAACATACTTCACAAAGCATCCTGCTCAAACTACGCAAACACAAATAAATTAACCTGAAGTCATAGTAAATTATAGTAATAAATATGTAGGTTGGTAAGAGATTTCTTTTAAATTAAATAAAATATATAACAAACTTGTTAAAATATCTAGCAAATTAAACGTTTGTCTTTGTAATAAGTGAACTCATTTGTATGCAACTATGAAGTACTGTATAGCAAAATGTTTGCAAGTACATAACTGCAATAGTAAATCTTGTTTGGTGTCCCATTTATAATAGACAGCACAGATGGTAGCTCATTTTTAAAACTGATTTTTAAATAAACACCGTTCCTACCTAAGAACAGACATTTCATCCTCACTAAACTAAGATTCAAGGGTTCAGATGAACTCCAAACCAAAGATAAACTTAATGCATAACGGTGACCACAGTTTCATGGGCGTGGAATTACTGTTGAATATCGTTTTTCATTTGTGCAGGTTACAGTAATAACAGTGGAATATATCAAGCCTGTGAATGCCATCACGTTCCATCTAAATATCCATGAGGTTAATAAAAAATAAACACTTTTGTTTATAGCACAGAAAATTAAGCCCACACTAAGTCCATGTGTACATTTACACAGAGGCACGTCTGCACATGACATGTGTGTGCACACCAAAAAGGCAGTTTAGCTGGTTGTCTATACCTTTTCCTTAAAAAAAATAAATATAAAAAAACTTTTGAAACAATGCTTAACTACTTTACAATCCCTGAAATAGACATTGCCTTTACTATAGCAACTATGAAACTCTGATCCATTCAGAAATTCAAGATTGTGGGCTCAATTCCATGTGTGGATGAGTGTGTGTGTATGCCTGTGTGTGACTATGCCTGTGTGTGTGTGTGTGTGTGTGTGTGTGTGTATTTTGCAACACTTGAAGTTCTATGGCAAGATTTTTATCAAATTGAATGTTGCCTTGTTTCTCATGGAGGGTGAGACCCACGTTCCCTGTGTTTTAAGTAATCACTCAGATTGGAGTAGCAATTTTTTTATGTGTTACTATATTTTCCGTTCCTTTCTAGTCAACCCAGTAAGATAAATGCTATTTCAGGGGATATGGTATCTACAAAATTTTTCATTTGGATGTGTTTGTATTTGCTAAGTACAAATATACACCAATATTGTCACTTGTATATTGTACCAACATATGGCAGGAAAGCCTGGCTGGCCACACCAAGTCTTATTTTTCATCTTGGGATATGAGTTGCCAACGATCTGATATGACTTGAAAAACAGACAAATCAGCATCACTAAGAAAAGCTTATGTTTCTTTAAAACATTTCAAATAAATAATTCATATTAACGAAAACCGCCCAGCCAAGTCGAATACTTTGCTGATTGCTGTATTTAATTATTGCTAACAAACTCTGAGCAGGCTGTTTTCCAGCATCCCGTGCTTTTGTGGGTGCGGATTCCCCACTAGTGGGCGCCGTTTGTCTTCTTATTCCTTTCGTGCGGCTCAGCTTCCCGCAAACTCATTTATCAATACAAAAACCAGTGAGAGGTGGGGGAAGAAGCGTGCAATAAAAATCAAACTCAGCCATAGTGCAGTCCTCAGACAAGGGTTTCCTTCACCCTTTCCTTCTCCTCATTAAAACCCAGCAAGAAAGATGTGTTGAGAAGAGCATTTCCATTTAAATCCCATTGGAAAATAAATTAATACACACACTTGTAAAAATACGGCAGACTTCAAAATGCAGTTAAAAGATAAAAAACTCTTTGATTAGTAATAAATAAATTATAAAAATGTCACATTTATTTTACATATACTTTACAAAAAAGAGTACCACGAGGAAATAAAAGAAAAACATATGAAAATAAATAAGATCTAATAATTGCCTGCATTGCATTTAATCCGAGAAGTCTATCATAGTTTTTCTTTCCTTTTTATGTCAGCTGGGGAAAATAAAATTAGTGCAATGTTGCAGGTGTAAATGCAGTACGGCAACCTCCGCGCCTTAGCAGTATGCGAACCTCTGACGGATCCATCTGGAGTTCACTGCTGTGGGTAATTTCCGTTGCCCGGCAGCGCTGTGATCCTACACATGGATGCCCTTCACTGCCTGTTTGATACTTTCCAGCAGCGCTTTGCATTCCGGGGAATAGTCCCGTTCCAGATTGCTGTACATGTCTGTGAGTGTATTTACATATGCTTCAAAATTCTGCTCACTGATAGGTCCCTAAATGGAGACAAAACACATTGACCCAATCACAGCGGTTCAAGCTGAGGGAAAAGAAGAACCCAGAGACACGGAAGAACATGGGGATCCGCGCATCAGGAGGGAAGGGAAGGGTGCATGCGGCCGCTGGGGTCGCAGGCGATGCAGGGGGATGGAGGGAGTGTGTGTGGGATTCATCTGTTCACTCTTAATTCGGGAGATGAACGTGACTGGCTTGTACAGCATTTGGGGTTGATTTGGAGCACATAAAGTATATGTCTGGCTGTGGACTTGGACTCCACAAAACTTTTCTACTTCTCTTGGGAGGCAGCCTCAGACTTGCACGACATGTGCAGAGGCCTCCTGCTTGTGGAAGGTGAGTGTTTGTGAGGCTGGGAAGGAAGGGTTGCTTGTATCAAGTGATGCCTTTACCAGCACTGGGCAGAAATTTAAGGAATTTAAGATTTGAGCAAGTTGCTCAGTAACAGTTGTGATGGAATAATTTCCTCCTCCATACTCAGACACTTTTCAGCCTGTTTTTCTCCTGTGGCATCACTGCAATAAACTTTTGAAAACTTCTCAGCATCTACAGGCAGAATATCAGTTTCAGAAGGTTTAAATTTATTCATCCCCCCCCCATTTTTTTTTTGAGACAGAGTCTCACTCTGTTGCCCAGGCTGGAGTGCAGTGGTGCGATCTCGGCTCACTGCAACCTCTGCCTCCTGAATTCAAGTGATTATCTTGCCTCAGCCACCCAAGCAGCTGGGATTACAGGCACGCGCCACCATGCCCGGCTAATTTTTGTATTTTTAGTAGAGATGGGATTTCACCATGTTGGCCAGGCTGGTCTCGAACACCCGACCTCAGGTGATCCACCCCGTCAGCCTCCCAAAGTTCTGGGATTAGCGGTGTGAGCCACCGCGCCTGGCCTCCCTGTTCTTTTTGCATGTTTTGGTCTCTCCTTTACCCAGCGTGATTCTTCATGGACACCACACAGATTTACAGGATCGGAATGAGAGTCACAAGGAAAATGCCACTTAGTCACTTCTGTTCCTCCATTTTCCCTCCTTTTAAAAAACAGGTTACATACGTCTTACTGCACAAGATGCTTGGAAGAAAGGACTTTTAAAGGGTCACAGTATGGCTATTGCTGCTATTTATGAAATAAGCTTTCTAAATTTGAAGGTATTGTGCTCTGCTCGACAAAGTGATCTAAACTACTAGTATTGTCCGACTGTGACTCTCTGTCCCCTTCTCTTTCCTGCCTTTGCCACGCCTTGCGTTTCCTGGAGAGTCAGGAAATGGATGGGGACCCAGGTGGCAAAGTGGATAAGGGTCACTCAGCAGGGCCGGGCCCACTCGCCTTGTGTTAGCTTTGGAAACTTGATCAGATTAGGTAAGCGCTCTGAGCCCTGATTTCCTCAACTGAGGACTGGGGATACCAACGCTCACTCACTGGTGCTTTTGTAACATTCTGTGTGATCAGCCCTAAAAATCGCCACAAGAGTGCCCTGTGTGGCAAGTATCCAAGGCACGAGTTGACTTTTGTGGTACCTATTTTTTATGGCAGTGGTGGAGAAGAAAATACTGAGGGATGCATATTCAAAGTATGATTTACACAATGTTAACAAATAGCATTACAATGATTTTTAATCATATCTTAATCCTGGCCATAGTGGTATCATTTATTTTGCTTTGTGCTCCTTATTATATTATTGATTTTTTGGCAGGGTTGGGGGGTAGTGGGTGGGAGTCAAGAAACGCATTTGGAATCAGTTAAGATAAGAACTCCACGCTAGGAAGTCGGGTAAAATCAAGGGGCTCATTGTTTTAATCAAAACCAATTATATTTATCACATTGCTGCTTCTATAAATAATTTCATATATAAAATTGACATCTTTGGAAAAATTATTATAAAAATTTCGGTTCTGAGGAAATTAAAAGCATTTAGCAATGCAGTCTCTCCTCCAAAGATTTGTCTGTATTTAAGAATATGTAAAAGAAGCTAATTTTCTATGAATTCCAAATACAGTCACGCAATGCATAGCAGCATCTCAGTCAGTGATGGACTGACTGTATAATGGTAGTCTTGTAAGATTACAATACCATATTTGGATGGTTTAGATGTGTTTTTCCATGTTTAGATACATGAATACTTACCACTGTGATGTAATTGCCTATTCAGTTCACTAACATGCTGCACAGGTGGGGACCCCAGAACAGTAGGCTGTACCAATAGCCCAGGTGTACAGTATGTAAAATAGGTTCTGTCATCTGGGTTTGTGGAAGTTCACTGTATGACATTCACGCAGTGTCAAAATCACCTAAGGACACAGTTCTTGGAACGTGTACCCATTATTAAGCAATGCAGGACTGTAGCTGCATACCTAAAAGACATGCTTAGATTTTGAAAATGAGGATGCCTTGCTCATTTTTTACTTTTTATTTTGTGTGAGGAGATTGGAAGTATGAGGAGAGCACCTAGTCCATTGGGAACTGAACATTTTTGGCTACAGTTCTTGAGTTGGATGGATGATGCAGTAACTGGGTCTCAGGTTCTGTAAGACGTGGAATCTTCTGTTTGGAAATACATTTTCATTGAGGGAGTTTTGGCCTCCAACTTTCGCATGATATTATGAACCAAGTTTTAAAAAATCCTTCATTTCTCAATGGCTTTGGCCTCTAAAAAAATTCTTGGCCTTAATATAATTTAAATAAATGCATCTACTACATTCCCAGAGAGGGAGATTGCTCCAAGCCAGACCGAGATGAAATGTGGTCACTCTGTAACTGCTCACAGATCTCCTCAAAGCTCAGTCGTGTCAACCCCGTGGGTACATGCATAAGGGTGGTGCAAATGCTTGTAATGGAACTACAAGGTTCTGGCCTTGAACTTACCATCTGTGGAAGCTGGATGTCGGCGAGGCTTGAAATGAGAGCTTGGCTCAGACCCGCCAGCTCTTTCAGCAGACTCTCATTGTTCTGTTCTATGAGTTTGTTCTCCTCCTCTATCGTCTTTAAGTTGCTCTCCATAGACGTGATCTACAAAAGAAATAACTTGGGGATATGAGAGTGGAGTTTGGAAGGAGCATGAATGTTTTCTCCTTGAAGGAAAAGGCATCAAGTGCATCTGAGCACGAAGGGATGCTTGCGTGCAGCTCCTCCGCATGAAACTGCTGCCCCATGGGATTGTCCGAAATGCTGGAATCACATTGCCAAATTTTCATCTTTAGCCCAGACTTCCTCGTGAATTGTAGAACTTCTCCACGTGGTTGTATGGTGAATATCTCAAACTCACATGCTTACAGCAAACTTTGCTAGTTCCCCCAAACCTGCTCCATCCTCAGTCCCCTTTTTCCAGCCAACAGCAACTCAGCTGTAGTGCAGATTTCCACACATCCCATGGCTCTTTCTTTCATACCTCACCTCCCCTGGTGCCTCCTTCAAAATATCCCGGAAGGGACCCCTGTCCCCTCCGCACTGCTGCCTCCTGGGCCCAACCACCAGTGTGACCATGTCACCTTCTCGTGGGTGGCCCTGTGTCTGCCATTACCCATGCGATCTCTTCTCGGCCTTTCCTCAACACAGCCACCAAGACGAGCCTCTTAAAATGCACGTCAGCATGTCGATCAGATGGGATTATGTCACTCCTTGGCTCAAAACTGCACAACAGTTCTGGATACATTCAGAATAAAAGCCAAGGTCTTTAAAACAGACTAAGATGCCCCATGTGAGCTGCCCTGTTGCCTTTGAGACTGCCCTCCTGTGACCTGCCACACCCAGCTCACTCACCTGCGGCCGCACTCCTTCTGCCCCACCCAGCTCACGCACCTGTGGCCACACTCCTTCTGCCCCACCCAGCTCACGCACCTGCGGCCGCACTCCTTCTGCCCCACCCAGCTCACGCACCTGCGGCCGCACTCCTTCTGCCCCACCCGGCTCACGCACCTGTGGCCACACTCCTTCTGCCCCACCCAGCTCACGCACCTGTGGCCGCACTCCTTCTGCCCCACCCAGCTCACGCACCTGCGGCCGCACTCCTGCCACACCCAGCTCACGCACCTGCGGCCGCACTCCTTCTGCCCCGCCCAGCTCACGCACCTGCGGCCGCACTCCTGCCACACCCAGCTCACTCACCTGCGGCCGCACTCCTTCTGCCCCACCCAGCTCACGCACCTGTGGCCACACTCCTTCTGCCCCACCCAGCTCACGCACCTGCGGCCGCACTCCTTCTGCCCCACCCAGCTCACGCACCTGCGGCCGCACTCCTTCTGCCCCACCCGGCTCACGCACCTGTGGCCACACTCCTTCTGCCCCACCCAGCTCACGCACCTGTGGCCGCACTCCTTCTGCCCCACCCAGCTCACGCACCTGCGGCCGCACTCCTGCCACACCCAGCTCACGCACCTGCGGCCGCACTCCTTCTGCCCCGCCCAGCTCACGCACCTGCGGCCGCACTCCTGCCACACCCAGCTCACGCACCTGCGGCCGCACTCCTTCTGCCCCGCCCAGCTCACGCACCTGCGGCCGCACTCCTGCCACACCCAGCTCACGCACCTGCGGCCGCACTCCTTCTGCCCCGCCCAGCTCACGCACCTGCGGCCGCACTCCTTCTGCCACACCCAGCTCACTCACCTGCGGCCGCACTCCTTCTGCCACACCCAGCTCACGCACCTGCCGCCGCACTCCTGCCACACCCGGCTCACTCACCTGCGGCCGCACTCCTTCTGCCCCGCCCAGCTCACGCACCTGCCGCCGCACTCCTGCCACACCCGGCTCACTCACCTGCGGCCGCACTCCTTCTGCCCCGCCCAGCTCACGCACCTGCCGCCGCACTCCTGCCACACCCGGCTCACTCACCTGCGGCCGCACTCCTTCTGCCCCGCCCAGCTCACGCACCTGCCGCCGCACTCCTGCCACACCCGGCTCACTCACCTGCGGCCGCACTCCTTCTGCCCCGCCCAGCTCACGCACCTGCCGCCGCACTCCTGCCACACCCGGCTCACTCACCTGCGGCCGCACTCCTTCTGCCCCGCCCAGCTCACGCACCTGCCGCCGCACTCCTGCCCCGCCCAGCTCACGCACCTGCCGCCGCACTCCTGCCACACCCAGCTCACGCACCTGCGGCCGCACTCCTTCTGCCCCGCCCAGCTCACGCACCTGCGGCCGCACTCCTTCTGCCCCACCCAGCTCACGCACCTGTGGCCACACTCCTTCTGTCCCACCCAGCTCACGCACCTGCCGCCGCACTCCTTCTTGCTATTTCTCACATTCCCAGACCTTCTCATGACGAGTGCTTTTGCACTTGCAGAGTTTCTTCTGTCTGAAACACTTTTCCTCCATACCTGTTTGGCTAACTCCCTCGTGGATGCCTTTCTTCTCCCTGGGGACTAGTGGTCCCATTTAGTATTGAAATCCGGCCACTCACCCAGCCCCCTGCCATGTTAGCACATGACACAACTGATCATTTATGGCCTTTTTGGTTTATTGTCTGTTCCTCCTTCTAGCCTCTAAGTCTCAGGAGGGCAGAAGCCTTTGTGTTCTTTGCTAATGGTTCTCTAGAGGAATTCCCATGATTTCTAGACAAAAGTATCAATCTGTGGACCAGATGGCCATTAACAGATGATGGCGACCATGGTCACGCTGGGTAAGGAGACCAGAATTTCAGCTGGATTAAAATCCTTTGTCTTAAGCTGCCGTGTGAGGACTTCCAAGAGATCCAGTAGCCATGGTGGTATAAAAGTCCTACATTTCAGCTGGGCGCGGTGGCTCATGCCTGTAATCCCAGCACCTTTGGCGGGCGGATCGCAAGGTCATGAGATCGAGACCATCCTGGCCAACAGGGTGACTGGTCACTACTAAAAAATACAAAAATTAGCTGGGTGTGGTGGTGCATGTCTGTAATCCCAGCTACTCAGGAGGCTGAGGCAGGAGAATTGCTTGAACCCAGGAGGCGGAGGTTGCAGTGAGCTGAGATCACACCACTGCACTCCAGCTTGGTGCCTGGTGACAGAGTGAGACTCTGCCTCCAAAAAAAAGAAAGGAAAAAAAAAAAAGAAAAGAAAAAAATCCTACATTTCAGAAGAGGAGAGATGGGAAGGGGAGAAAGACCGTCGGTCCCATGCTCTGTCTCATTCTTTCACTGCTAACTTGTTGCAAGAGAGTTAAGATTCTTGTTTTAAAAGTCTTAGTCCCAACTGTTGATTTCCAGGGGGAGAGGCAGACATCAAAAAGAAGAATGCAGAAAGGAGAAATTGCTTGTCTTTTTGGGTAAAGCATTTGCTCAAGAAAATGTTCAGTAAGCTCTGTTTCTAATAAATACTTACACATTCAGAGGTGTTCCAAAACCTTAAATGAAAAAGTTGCTGTTTTACTTGAATTTTGAATAAAACTAACGATTGTTACATTTTCATCACTATTTTTCTAATGCGTGCTCTACCAGAGTCTTTGAGTATAGGCTGATCTGCCTTGTTTGATTATGAAAACTTTGATGCCACCAGGGCAAAAACACGAGAAAGCTTGCCCACAGCTACTGAATATGATAACCTGGGACGATCCACCCATTCAGAATTTTACAATAATTACGGAATCTAGAAATACTCAGCATATTTTAGATATCAGCATATTTTCACACAAGGTTGAAGAGTTCATTTTGTTTCCACTGAAGGTTATAATTACATTAAGGATTATGAATTTTTTTTTTTACCTGGGTCTGAAGTTTCATCATATCTGCTTCAATTTTCAGGTTGGATTCATTCAGTTCCTTTATTTCCTCATCCAAATGTCTAATTTCCTCATCACTCTCTATTCCTGTAGAGAGTAAGACGGTTAACAAATGAGTCATTTTATGTTTAATGTGTGATTTGCTAGTTGAAAACGGGACTTTCATTTGAAGTGTCTTTACCAAAACCATGCATATCCCGGATTCTGAAAAAGTGGATAAGAGGAGTCACAGATTTAATTTCTTGATAAGAAGGAAAAGTGCCACCGTTGCATAGGGCTCAGTTATGTCCTGGGGGTGCTGGCAGATACATTCGTAAAGTGTCTTCAATCACATCTCACCGAACCCTGCAGCAGGATTTGCTCCATCACACCCTCCCTCGTCACGTACGAAGACACCGGGCCCCAGAGAGGTTAAACGAGGCCTCAGGAATCACCGACAGAAGTTAAATAACCTGCCCAAGTTCAAATTAAGAGGCAGAGCTGGGATTAAACCTCAAAGCCCTTGCATCCTCTTGTTCAAAATGCTGCAAGGACAGTTTTATGCTGAGTAATTAAATATCTATTTAGTTGAGTTAGACCTTAGGACCCATGACTGCAGGCAGAGCTGGGGGCTTCTGGCAGGTGAATTGGAGTCCAGAGATACATCGGCAGGGTTCTCCACACAGACATGGATGAGGAAAATGTGATTTAGGGGAAAGAGCATCAACTCGGGAGTTTGACTCCTGTCCTTGAACCTGGACAACTTCTAATCTTTGTGCTTCAGCTTCCCCTTCTGTGAAACATGCATGATATCTACACTGTGTGAATGAATGCAATAAAATGCAGCTGAACATGCCACAGGCTCTCAGTGAACGGGGGCTATTTCCCATGATTACTTTGTAGAAGGATTATGACTACATTTGAAAGGTTTTGAGGACCTGGGGAAGGTGGTCAATCTTAGGGTGCCAGAAGCAGGATTGGAGCGAATTCTGCCTTCCAGAAGAATGAGTCTGCAGCAGAGTGACAATGTGAAGAGGGACACACGTGAACTTCCACACTGAGACTTCATAAGAGGCATTTCATGAAGGCCGGACAGAGGGTACTTGGCCTGACAGTTGGTTTGAGAAAGATCTGGGCTCTTACACGTTCCTAGGGTGACTACTTTGGGAAATCCTTCCTTGCCTCCTGAAGGCAAGTGCTCACATTCTCTGTGACCCTGCAGTTTCTTCCTCAGGTACACACTCAGAACAAAAGGTTGTACACAGCAGTATTGCTCGTCAAAAGCACAGCTTGAAAGGAGGCCACACGCCCACCAAAAACAACATGGCTGACTCTTAGTACTTCAGCGCAAAGAGAAAAAATTAAGCCCAAAAGTTACATCACATACAGTATGATAAAACAGATGGCTATTCCACAGGTACTTACTGCTTTATTAAAAGTAACTACTAAAAAAAGTGAGACATGCATGGACCAATGGAGAGAGTGTGTCATAAGAGTGATCTAACCCTGGGCTCTAAGATGTAAGGGAAAAAGGAAAACACTAACGTATAAGATCTACCAGGTATCTTAGTAGCTAGACCAGTTCGAACGTGAGTCAACAGTATGACAACCAACAGTCACCCACGACCATCCTCATAGAACTGTAGTATCAGGGACTCAGGATTCATCCTGCCCTGGCCAGCTGCGTCTGGAGAATTGCATCATGGAGCAGCATATTTTACCGGTTGCTGTCCCGGTACAGGGATCCTCTCGCAGACAACTGATGGGTAAGAGCTGGGGAAGAAAGGGCTGAAGCACCTGGACTCTCAATGAAGCAGGTATTTGGAGTGCTGTCAGCACTTGAAATTTTTCTGATTTGAGCAATTGAAAACTCCTATGTCTATATATTTCTTTGACATATTGCTTTTCTCTTCGGTCTTTTTGCAGTAAAATTCCACTTCAAAGAATGGCATTTTCTTACATAATATCTGGTAAGGCAGACAAAAACCAAGGAGACTCTTGAAAAACTTGAAGTGCTCGAAAGGAAGCGCACAGGGTGCTGGGAAGCCCTTCACTGGAGAAGATGCACTCTTTTTAAGACTTTAAAGATCAGAAGGAGGCAGGCCTGTGAACAACCAGCCAGGAGCTGAGCATCCGAGAGGAGGGAGGAAGCCCAGAGCCCAGAGTGAGAAGGGAGTGGGTGCTCCGTGCACAGCAAGAAAGCGAATGATGGAGCTGAGCAATGGGGACCTCCTGGGAGCTTAGGTTTATTCTAAGTGTAACGGGAGCCAGGGAAGCGTTTTAGGTGGGGGAGGTGGGGTGATCAGGATGCTTTTCATAAACATAATTTGGAGTTTTGAGTAGAGGATAGATTGGAGAACAGACAGTGGAAACCAGGAGACCTGTGAGGCGGTGATTGCTGGAGTCCTGGCTGGGTGCAGGGAATTGAGGTCAAGAGACGGAGACAGACTCAGGCTCTAATCTGCAAGTGGAATTTGCAGGACTTGTGAGGACTGGAGGTGGTGGTGAGAGAAGGGAGAAATTGACCATGACGGCTTGTTTGTGCCGGAGCAGGTGGGTAAGTGCAGAGCTATCTCTGCGATGAGGCAGACTGGGGGTCTGAAACCTGCAGGAGAATAAATAAAAATTCGATTTGATGAAGTTATGAGTGCTTGTGAGAAGACTGTTTAAGTGACAGCCTGGGTTCTTGGTTCTGGGGTTTCTTTAGGATAATGTTTCCCTCAGGCCTAATGTTCCTGAAGACACCCCAGCCTCTTAATCAGATGGGGCCGTTTGGAAGATGCTTAATAATAAAAGATGCCTGGAGCTTGTGAGGAAAGCTCTGATCACAACATGAGATCTCAAAAAAAAAACCACATTGTCATATGATCTCATATGTAACAGTCTCCCCATGCATTCTCATAGAATTAATAAATGAAGTAACTGATGTTTTTATTATAATTTCTGGATTTGGGGAGCTATTTTAGCCACAGGATCAAATTCAATCAATCTCTTTATAATCCTTCCTGTTAACACATCACTTCATCTGTTTCCATGGAGTCTCTTATCTCCCAAACTCTATGCACACAGTGTTTAAGAACCTTTAGACTTCACTCTGCGCTTCCAAATATTAACTTATATAATCCTCATTTAATGCCCATGATGTAGAAACATTTATTACCTCAAAGTAAGGATGGGAAACCAAGGTACAAGGGAAGTGGTACAGTGGAATTCAAACATAAACTCTCTGGTTCCAGAATATGTTCTTTTAACCATGATAACGCTGTCGTTACTCACAGATGTTTAATCTGTTTTGGAAGTGTTGGTAAAAAGTGTGCCCTAATGTTTACAGACACGCTTCTGGTAAAATGTTGGACTAACTAGGTATTGCTGAAATCAAGAACACCGTATAAACTTTCCCCTGGAAATTTTACTTAGCTGCTCAGGAACTCTGATTATTTATGCCCTCCATCTATGGAAAAGCAAGAGCAGATGCCTTCTTTTCATTTAATCATTCTAATGTTTACTTCGTACTAATCTGGGTCTAATGTGTATAATTGGGGATTATGTCATATATTTTCTTTACATTCTGTATAACTATGCAAGTTATTCACGTACCTGTATAGATCAGCTATTCTCAACTTATGAGAGGCTTTAAGTACTATAGCTCTGTTTTCATATTATACAAATGAAGCAATTCTGTTACATTTCAAACAAATTCTATTATATTTATTGAGTGAACTTTTATTTTTAAATTGGGTTCCCACACCAAAATTGTACTTTTTTATTCAGGGGAAAATGCATTAATGTAAAATAGGCTATTTAGTTAGTAAAGGAGTGAGGACAGTTAACATCCAGAAAGAAACGACGTATAAGAACGTTTAGGACACAAGATTTTGTCACATGGGAAGAGCTAGAAGGACCTCCTAAATGCAAGACTGTATATTAGATCAATCATCATGTCTTCTGCTTGTTCCTATGAAGCACAGAAGGACCACCATTCTTTCTTATACGGATGGCCTAATTTTATTACCAAGGATTAGGAAAGGTCTTTAAAAATTAACGTGGCAATTTAATTATGACAAGGATGGAGAACTAAGGATCAATTCTTCTAAAGTTAATATACACATTTTTTGGTATAGACGTCCATGTTTGAACTGGTTTGTACATAATATTCCCCTAAAATATTATCTAATTCAACTAGTTGCGTGAACGATTTGTATCTAGTTTGAATTAACATAGTATGCCGAAGTCAAAGCCTATCACTTTGTTTTATTGCAGTTTGATTTGACGTTTTAAACGTCTGAAGATGTGTTGGTTCATACCTGCTTTAAAGATCATCCAGACAATGACTGTGGCCACACTTTGAGGTAAGGGACCAGGACACACAGCGTCCTTAAAGCAGACCTCCGAGTGACTTTAGGTCCTTCCTCACCTTCAGTGAACCACTGACCTGAATTCAGGTGGGCTTTTTCTCATGCAAAGTCCTTGCAGGTTCTTAAGTTTCACAGAGCATCAGACTCTACTTTCTCGGACTGTAAAACGTGTACTTTTCCAGTTAGTTACCTGTCCACCTGAAATGGCTGCACCCTGACACCTGTCAACGGGTTCAACCCAACTCGCTGCTGCTGCATATTCTTTGAAAGCTCAGCTGAAGATGCTAGACACGGGGACGCCTGGAAGTGCACGCGCTCAGCCCTGCTGCTCCTGGGTCTCTGTGAAAGTCTGTAGTGGGTTCAGACAGACCAGCAGCATGTGTGCTGCCCCCTGCAAAACTCCATCATAATTTGATGTAATGCTGCCCGGTCGCTGTTCTGTTTTTATCTTTCTTAGGAGCAGCCTCGTAATTTACATTCTGTTCGGAATATGGATGGAATGGGTGTTCCCATAATGAGAACTCGTAAGAAATATTTCCTTCACAGTGGGTTCCAGAAGGAGTGTTGCTCCGAGTTTCCTTACTACCCTGTGATTCACATGGCGATTACAGCTTTCTTTTGTGTTGGCTTCTAAAAGTTGAGGTCAAATTCGCAGTCCTTACTTACCTAGAGAGAAATGGCCCTTTGCACACGTCTTAGGCTTGCTCTGTCTCATTCTTATCTTTAACTTTCCTTTGTCTCATTTTTAAATTAAATTTTAACTAGCATTTTTTTTAAATTTCATGTAGCTTTGCGGTCCTTATCCTTTACATACTGTTTGAAATAAGGTGATAAATAAATACACATTAAATTGTCCTCATTTCACTGCAAATGCACTGAGAGGTATTTAAGGGGATATTTCCAAGGAGCAGTAAGAGCATCTGGGGAAAAGCTCTTTTACTGAGTATGTGAATGTTGGGAAGGCTGGACGAGGCAGGCCTGCCCCCCGCAGCCAGGGCGTTATTCCTCTGCATGTACACTGCCCTCCTTCAGGACTTAGTGGTGAGGACCCAGGGAGGGAGGACCCCCCCCCCAGGGACTGCTTTAAATAAAGCAGATGAAGCCCTCAGAAGAAAGCATTAAGAAGCTCGAGTGTTTTCCTCCCTTGGATACCACGTATCTTCTTTTTAAAAATCACACACACAAATTAAAAAGACTGGGCAATGCTTTCAGAGAAAGTAACAACAGTGAAGTCCCCAAGTCATGTGCCAAAGACGCCATCAGATAGTCTCCAGAGCAAAAGAATCGTTCTGTCGCTGTTTCTCAAACGCTTTGCAATGATCTTTGATGGAAACCAACACAGGACCCAGATAATGCTGATTAGAAATCTCGAGAAAACCATTCAGAATCAAAGGCAAATTGGATGTTCCAAACAGAGAACTCAGAAACGGTATCCCTGAACCTGGAGAGGGGATTGACATGAAGGAAATATCTAGGGAACATAGACCTCGGTAACGACACGGATGCTAAATTCAAACCTTCCAGAATCTCCATAAAATACCATGGTGAACACAAAGCACGATGGAAGCATTCAAATGCAGATGCCAGAAACTGCTTCCTGAAATTTTATAGCAGACTTACACCAGAAAAACCACACGTACACCACACACACACACAGAATGAAGGACACACTTCCACCAGTGTGTGTTTGCCGTTGTTGCTTTGTTTAGAGATTTGATCTCTTGCTGTTGCCCAGGCTAGAATGCAGTGACCCTATAATACTACCTCACCTCACTACAGCAGCCTCGATCCTGGGCTCCTGGGCTCTACAATCCTCCCATCTCAGCTTCCAGAGTAACAGGGACTATACTACCGGTGGGCTCCGTCACCCTGGGCTAACTTTTGTATTTTTTTTTTTTTTTGTAGAGATGGGGTCTGGCTGTGTTGCCCAGGCCGGTCACAAACTCCTGACCTCAAGCATGCTGGGATTACAGGCATGAGCCACCGTGTCCTACCAACCACCAGTGTATCTTAATCCATCATACCTCACTGTCTGACTTTCTCTGTTGGTGATCCTTCCTTATTTAAGAAGAAGGAAGACACCAAAAAATTTGTTTTTAAACCAATTTATAATTTTAGTTCGAATCTGAGGAAATCTTTCTTCTTGTACATTAAAATTGCACTTTCCACCTAAAGAATACTTGGACACATGGAGCCCTGTGGAGAGCCAGGGTCTACACCCTGGTGGAGGCGGCGGCCAGCCCTGTCTCTTACCCCCAGTGGCTTTCAGCTTCATGCTCATGAGTTCTTCAGAAACCTTGCCCTTTTTGATAGCTTGCGCATTGAGAGGACATCCAGATAAGCTGTGGAAATAGAAATCGTACTAATGTATGAAATGTATATGATGTCTTACAAAGCTTAAAACGTTTTATTCACAATCTGCTATTTGTGTTTTTGCTGCCGAGGAATTACGTTATAACCCATAGTCTCTCTGTAGAGAGTAATGAATACATACCCATTCAAGCAAAGGCAGAAGGCCCTCAAATAATGTAAAATGTTTTGTTTTCTTTCCTTAAAGTACAAACAGTTACTGCTGATACGCAACTATTATTTAATTTATTTTGTTAAGTTGCTATTCGTCTGCATTCAAGTGTGTTCTTTTGTTTAGGAGTGGTTTATTTCCTGCAAATGTGAAATTGTACGTATATATTATCAATAAGAATTGTTCCCAATTAGTCAAAATTCCATGAGTAGTAAAGCAGAATCTAGTTCTGCCTGCCTTTATATAAAGTGTTCCTTCATCATTATAGAATGACTCAAATCAACAGAAGTCAAAATAACACCCTATCCCACACCCCGATGGCAAATTCAGTTTGGTTATGGAAAAGTTTCTGATTTTTTTCTTTAACTTTTAACACATTTTTTGTTAAAAAATATCTCTTCCCTGGAAGGAGAATCAGAGAAGCTGCCGAAAGTGTATTCCGACGCGATCACCGCAGAGGCACTCTGCTCCACTGCAGTGGCGTTCATAACGCTTTCCGTCTAGTGTGGCACTCTTCAGCGGGGTTTCTTTCCCTTAGTGTCTTCTGTTTCATTTAAATGGCACCAGCAGGATAAATCCAGCACTGAAGAAAACTTGTTTTCCATCGTTTATGATCAGATGATTTTGTCGTTCTATGCAGCCATTAATTCTTTTGCAATCTTGCTGTGTTTTCGTAGAAACAATTTTTAAGATCAAAATAATGACGGTCTCATTCAGTCATTTAAAGTCTTTTTTTCTTACAGAAAGTTAGTTACAACTCAACTATAAAGCAATCATCTCACCCTGAAGCTTAGCACATTTGGAAAAGTGAAAAAAAATATTTCCGCAGCAAAGCACTTAAGTGTGTGCTTAATTACTGTATTTTTCAAGAGTATTAAATTATTCTACACTAAGAGCCTATGAAATATAAGAAATAATAGACATATATTATTATATATGTAGAAAAGATTATGCAGTTTGACTAATGTGATAAGCTATACATTTTCTACACAAAAAAATAATGAAAAGCAAAAACTTAACTTGGAAACTGCATCTTCTGTTTTTGGAAGTTTCTCACTGTCAACTGTGGCCTGTAAAAGTTTTATTACCTTTTTTTATGGGGAGTTTGCACAAGTCTGTCTTCTTTTATGTCACATATTGCATTCCCAGAATATAGTCATGAATATTTATTTGGTAAACTGGATATTTAGAGGTGACCTTTAGTAAGTCCCTTGGTAACATAATGGATATTAATACCTCATTAGAACTTCTCTGCTCCTCACCCTTAAAGGGTCTACTCTGTTGAGACAACACGCCAGAAAACTTTCAGGGTGACACAGTGTCGTGGAAATGTGAATGAAGTGACAGAAGCAGAGAAGACAGCTATGAAGAGAGGCTTTGCTTCATTCTGTATCTTCCAATGTACATATTTCATATCTTCCAGGATATAAGATGAATCTTAAATTGAAAAAGAATGGGCAGGATAAACACTTTAAAAGTCCTCTTTCCTTTTGAAGACAGATTTTAAGAGGCAGAGGTACAAACTTCTGAATTTGGCTCCGTATTGGAAAGGCAAAAAAAAAAAAAAAAAAAAAAAATGTGGCTTATATGGTTTTGACCAAAATTGCCATTCTATTAAGACATATTAAGGCAATTTTTCTTTTTTTTTGAGACAGAGTCTCTCTGTGTCACTCAGGCTGGAGTGCACTGGCACAATCTTGGCTCACTGCAACCTCCACCTTCTGGGCTCAAGCAATTCTCCTGCCTCAGCCCCCTGAGTAGCTGGGATTATAGGTGCACACCACCACACCTGGCTAATTTTTGTATTTTTAGTAGAGACAGGGTTTCACCATATTGGCCAGACTGGTCTCGATCTCCTGACATCAAGTGATCTGCCCGCCATGGCCTCCCAAAGTGCTGGGATTACAGGTGTGTTTGGATTACAGGCATGAGCCAAGATGCCCAACTGCAATTTTAAATTATATCTTCATCTGCCTTCTTCAAGCAAAATGGCAGGCAACACAATGTATGTTGTGAACATAATTGCTTACAATATATTAATAAGCTTTAGTAAAATTGCAAAGACATGGCATAGAACTAAATGAGTTCTATCGATCACAGAACTTCTGATTTTAAAGCTACAAACATTCCTAATAGTGTGTGTGTGTGTGTGTGTATGTGTGTGTGTGTGTGTGTGTGTTTTAACATATCAGTTATCTTCTCAGATTGCTATTTTTTTCAAAGGGAAAATTTTGACATATAGAGATTTAAAGCAAGGTTTGAGGGTACCTTTATATAAATATAATATGGATAGAGTGTGTGGGTCAAATTGTTCTTAACCATCCAACAAAGTGCGTTTTGAAATTATGCTCATTTTGGTTGAGAAAACATCTAGGCACTAGCACCTGTGATGCCTCAGCTTGGTGTCTGGTCCATGGCAAAGACCCATCATTAAACCTTAGGCGAAGCAGGATGACACAGGCTCTCTCGTGCCAACCCGTATTCAAAGCAATTCCATAACTTCCCTGTGCTTGCTTCATCCTCTGTCAACTGAGGGTAATTATAACACCCGTAGCTCACAGGGTCTTGTAAAGGTTTAAAGGAATAAACAGTGCCAGTTACTTCCAACAGCACTGTCTGTGGGCGAGAACCCTGAACATGCGTCAGCTATTATTAGGTGACAGGTGATGGGAAAGAGTAGGAACAACCTCAGAGTTTTCAGATTCAAAATACGTAACGTATACAAAGCCTGTCGTGAGTTATAGTCCACGTCATCTAAGTCATCCTGCATATGTACACAGAGGCTTAATATTATTTTCACAAACTGGAAAGGAGATCGTCTGTGTTGAACCCCTAGGGTAGCCAGGCATAAGCTAAGCGTTTTGTGATATTATTTCATTAAATTCTACACGTAGGCTGGACAGTTGCTCATGCCAGTAATCCCAGCATTTTGGGAGGCCGAGCTGGGTGGATCATTTGAGGCCAGGAGTTCGAGACCAGCCTGACCAACTTAGTGAAACCCTGTCTCTACTAAAAATACAAAATAAATAAATAAATAGCTATGTATGGTGGTCCCAGCTACTTAGGAAGCGAGGCAGGAGAATCACTTGAACCTGGGAGACAGAGGTTTCTGTGAGCTGAGATCACGACTGCACTCCAGCTTGGGCAAGAAGAGTGAAACTCCATCTAAAAAAAAAATATTTTTTTAGAGATGGGGTCTTGTTCTGTCACCAGGCTTGAGTATAGTAGAGCAATCGTAGCTCATGGCAGCCTCAAACTCCTGGACTCAAGCGATCCTCCTACCTTGGCCTCCGGGGACCACAGGCACGTAGCACCACCAGTAAGCACTGCTCGTTTACCCACTTAACTGTTCCTGGGCACAAAGGTTGTTTCCAGTTTGGAGTTAGTAGAGCAACACTGCTCAGATGTGCTCAGACAGGTCTCTGGGCTCTAACATGCAGAGATCCTCTGGGCCCACGTCTGACAGCTCATGGCTGCATGCTGGGGCCATGCACATCTGTTCATTTTCCAACTTGACTCTTTAAAGGTAATTTGCTTCTGAAAGTGGCACTACCAGTTGCTCTCCCCTACAGAGTATGAGAGCACCGGTTGCTCCGCATCCTAACCAAGCCTTGGCATCACCATTTAAAACTTCCTCACAATTTTTTTTTTTGAGATGGAGTTTCTCTCTTGTTACCCAGGCTGGAGTGCAATGGCACGATCTTGGCTCACCGCAACCTCCGCCTCCTGGGTTCAGGCAATTCTCCTGCCTCAGCCTCCCAAGTAGCTGGGATGACAGGCACGTGCCACCATGCCCAGTTAATTTTTTGTATTTTTAGTAGAGACGGGGTTTCACCATGTTGACCAGGTTGGTCCTGATCTCTCGACCTCGTGATCCACCCGCCTTGGCCTCCCAAAGTGCTGGGATTACAGGCTTGAGCCACCACGCCCGGCCTTCCTCACAATTTTTAAAGATGACTTCATTATTGCTAACTGAGCGACGTGCTCACCACAGCGCGGCATGACTATTTCACCAGCAGAGTCAACGCGGATCTGACCGAGGTCACCACGGGAAGTCAAGCGGCTGTGCAGTAGGCACAGTTGACTTGTGACTGCAGTTCCTGAATATGAAATCATAATTCAAACTCAGAACAGAGCCATGGGTGCTGTGTGGATGAAGGTCTACATCTGAAAACCATCAGAAAGTAAACCGCTTGAAAAAGTCAAGTTTTCTGCATAAACAGGTTTCACTGACTATGTAAATACCTTTACATAAGCAATTCCTGGAAGGCCTTATTTTCTGATATCATCTGTATATATCTTTAGAACTGAGCAAAATGTCAAAATGCTCCGATTTTGCTTAATGTTTACACCGCTCACATACAAAACATCGATGGTTTCCTAAAGCTTCGTTGGGTTTTAAACTAGTGTCATGTACAGTGGCCCAAAAGATGAGCAGGGACCCACTGGCTGGAGAAATATGGAGGGAATCTTCTAATCTTTTCCTTTAGGTGGAATGCGAACCAAAAAGCTGGACACTGATCGCTGCTGCTAACAAAGGGCTTGGCTGAGTATGTGACACTCGCTGGGAGACGATCCGGTCACTGAGAAACTGTGAGGGGCTCCCAGATGTCGGGCACCCCACTGCGCACTCCTCAGTCACTGCATCATCTCCTTTCCTGCTGCTGCAGACGAGTCACATCTTCCCAGTAGCAAAATAACTACAATTCTGGCCCGAAATTGAGCCAGTCCGTAAGACAGAGGGGCCACTATAAATACGTAAAGTGAAAGTTTGCAATGACATGACATAATAAAGTAGCTTTGACCGCCTGGAACTGAAATAAACCATTAAAAGACTGAACTGTTAAAAAATAGCAGCCTAAGCAATATTTTAGATACAAAAAAAAAAAAAAAACCTGCACATTTTCTAGAGCACTTGAGACCTGTGTAGTGAATTTTCAGAAATACAGAAAATAACATTTTTCATTCTTCATGCTCATCCAATATCTATATGGCAAGACTTCATGTTACGACATCTCAAGTACTAGAGTGAGCAAGCTTTAGGGGGCTGTTCACAACCCTCTCCCCAAGGCAGCCTAGGTGACCACCGGTCACAAATGACAAGAAAAAGACAAAAAACTCATGTTACCTTCGGTGGGTGACAAAAACATTATTTACATGGCCCAGCCCATTGCAGCCTGGCAAAGGACAATGTGGGAGCTCTTGCTTGTTCAGTTTCCAGGAGAGGGAGGTTCCATTGAGAGGGTTCTCCTTCTGTCTCTTGGCAGCCAGGGGACAGCCGGAAGCTGTGCGATGTGACGTGTATTTACCTGATATGTGACCTTGGCCATCACACCCTATCACAGGACATCTAGGGAGAAAGCAGAGACATTGCCAGCTGGAAAGAAGGCAGTGATAGTCCTACACTCTCCAGGGAACAAACATGCAGTTACAGGGTGTTAATAAAAGATGCCACCACAGCTAGGAAAACAGCATTTCAAAGCAGGCTCCGAGCTACGTGATTTTCACGTGTTATCTCACTTAGTATTCATTGCGATCTATTGAGTAGAGAGTATTATTATCCCACTTTGTCGATGGGGAATAATGAGGCTTAGAGAGCTTGGGTAACTTGCCACTCATTTTACAAGAAGTGGAGTCAAGTTCATGCCCACACTTTTTACATCTAGAGCCAACCTCATAAGGACTATATTATGCTGCTTCCAAAGAGCGAGTGTAGGAAGCATTAACCGCCTTGACCAACTACACAGCACGTCATGCACAGAATTGGAATCTGGGTTTCTAAACGTTTAAATACTGCATCTAGAATTGTTGTTGAGAAAATAACTTCAATTTCTATGTCTATATCTGCATATAGCATCCAAGACCTTTCTTAAAGGAAGGAATTCAATTTAGATACAATTTCACCTTAAGCAAAATTGAAGTTTCAGGGGAAAATGCTGCTATATTTGTCACTGTAGAGCACTTCCACAGTGTTGCTTTCCTTTAAAACAATTGAGAATCATATGAAACTGTTCTGTTTTTTTTTTTTATCTTCTGCATTATCAAAGAACTACGGAAATACAGTTATAAATAGAAAACTTTTCTCAAACCTCCAAATAGTTTGACTCTGGCTTATGTTGAATCAAACCCTGGCTTAGGGTTCACCATTCCTGAAACTCAATCCATGTTCAATTGAATCCCAACCAAGGGCCCTTCTTTTTTTTGAGACGGAGTCTTGCTCTGTCACCAGGCTGGAGTGCAATGATGCAATCTTGGCTCACTGCAACCTCTGCCTCCTGGGTTCAAATGATTCTTCCGCCTCAGCCTCCCGAGTAGCTGGGACCACAGGCGTGTGCCACCACGTCTGGCTAATTTTCTTGTATTTTTAGTAGAGACAGGGTTTCACCGTGTTGGCCAGGATGGTCTCGATCTCATGACCTTGTGATCCGCCCATCTCTCGGCCTCCCAAAGTGCTGGGATTACAGGCATGAGCCACCGTGCCCGGCCAAGGACCCTCCCATTTTACCAGCAAGAGACAGCTGACCCCCATGTTTCAACCGTTGCACTCACTTCATTTCAGGGTCTTCTTTCTCTTCCTTGGTCGGGGTCATTTTGACACCACCTTTCCTTGCACGAGGGCATCCCGACAGGCTGAAATAGGGACCCGACAGAGAACAAAACAAAACCATGTGATCTCCGTGACTGCTGCGGACAAGCTCATTTCCACGTCTCCGAAACGGGACCAATCCTACCTTCTGTGGGAAGCATAGTTTCCAGTCACGTGCCCCGAGCCATCGCAGCCTGGGGTTGGACACCTGGAAGGCACAGGAAGAGAGCATGGGCCGAGAGGTTGTAGTGGAGGGAGTGGGGGTCACACCCAAATTATTTGGATTCTTTAGTAATTACATTAATGTTCACGTCTCTGTAGTTCATGGGAAGAGAGAGGGTCACACATCCAAACACAACTAAAGACAATGAGCTGCTTTTTGTGTGAGTTTTTTTTTTTTTTTTGCTTAAATATAATTAAAGGTTGATTAATAATCTATTTAAAAATTTTAAGATATATGACTACTGAGTGACAATGGATTAGTTGTTATTTATTGTACATATTTTTTAACTTCATATAGAAGGGACTTGAAAATCAGTCCACAACTTCTTGCTGGGCTTGTGTCTACATTATGCAAAGTTCTTACCTTTTATGTAAAAAGAAAAGTTTTCCAAATTATTATAATTATATTATTATTATTTTTGAGACTGAGTTTCACTCTGTCACCTAGGCTCAAGTGCAATGGCACGATCTTGGGTCACTGCAACCTCTATCTCCTGGGTTCAAGCGATTCTCCTGTCTCAGCCTCCCAAGTAGCTAGAATTATAAGTGCGTGCCCCACCCATCTAATTTTTGTATTTTTAGTAGACACAGCATTTCACCATGTTGGCCAGGCTGGTCTCGAACTCCTGACCTCAGGTTATCCACCTGCCTTGGCCTCCCAAAGTGCTGAGATTACAGGCATGAGCTACCATGCCCAGCCTCCAAGTTATTTTTATGAATAATTTATTTTCTCTGATATGCTGTGCTGCTAGGATAATCTGTTGATTTCAGATGAACAACAGGGTCCATGTGAACTGCAGAGATGTGGAACATTTGTGGGATTACCGAAGAACCTCGATAATTCGCACCTGGCCTGTCCTGCCTCATGGCCTAACGGCACAAGTCAAATGGTCTTTGGGGAAAATCCACCAATAATTGTATCAACAATCAACCATTACATTTGAAATGAGAAAGTGAAGGATTACAGGGAATCCAATTTCTACTTGGAATATTGATTAGGAATGGGTTTCAAAATATTCTTAAATATAAAAGTTTATATAGACTTTCACCTTCTTTTTTATGTCTTTTTAGAAAATTCCCAAAATCAGAGGCCACCACAAAATGCTTGCTTTTCTGAATGCCCACCATGGTTCAGATCAAAAGTTCTATTTGAGAAAAACCATAATCCAAAGAAAAATGTGTCCACTAACCCTTTTCTTAAATTCCATTCCTCTAAACTTTCACAGAATGAATTCATATTCAAGCCTGAGGCAGAAAATAGGGAACAAATGCTTTTTTTTTTTTTCAAACAAAATATACAGTCAGCACACATCTCTTCTGGCTAACCAGGGCAAACTGCATTGAGTCTTCCATCAAGAATTTAAAGACGTAACATGTATCCTCCATTATGAGAATTTTTTGCATGCTAGTCTTTCTATTAACATTTTTTTTAGTAAAAAAGTGGTTGTATAGCATACTGAGATGGAAATATTTGTGCTGAATAATCATTTTTGGGGATTCTCCACGAATAGCTAAACAAGAGGTCAATAACATGTCTGTCTGATTTTTCTTGCATGGAAAAAATATCCATGGAAAAACCAAAGATATTACTTACTAGATAGCTGCATAAAATACTAAGTAATGAATATTGCTATGGGAGCTCTCAATTTGCATGTTTTCATGTATTACCAACATTGTTCTAGAAGTAAGTTTTAGAGAAAATAAGAGAACCACTAGCTGTAATTAAGATGTGGTAATACAGAATTTTGACGCAATTGAGCAAACATCTTTGTTCTGGTACATCTCACTTTTCAGTCTGTTAATTGTTAGTCTCTACTTACTGCTTATATTTTAACCTAGAAAAATGGGAGTCAGTAAAGTGATTCCTAGAATCCACACTGACACAGTAAATTGTACTTGACAGTGAAAATGAGAAACGTGGCCAGGCATGGCGGCTCACGCCTGTAATCTCAGCACTTTGGGAGCTGAGGAGGGTGGATCACCTGAGGTCAGGAGGTTGAGACCAGCCTGGCCAACATAGGGAAACCCTCTCTCTACTACAAATACAAAAATTACCCAGGTATGTGTTGTACGCCTGTAATCCCAGCGACTCGGGAGGCTGAGGCAGGAGAATCACTCGAACCCAGGAGGCAGAGGTTGCAGTGAGCTAAGACCATGCCATTGCACTCCAGCCCGAGGGACAGTGCCAGACTCCTTCTCAAGAAATATAAGAAAGAAAAAAGGAAGGAAGGAAAGAAAGAAAAGAAAGAAAGGGAAAGAAAAAGAGAGAGAGAAAGAAAGAAAAAGGAAGGAAGGAAGGAAAGAAAGAAGGAAGGAAATGATGAGAAAATTATATTTCACAGTTTCTTTTATTATTGTTGGTACTAAGATTTTACATTTGCATATCTGTTCATTATCACATTTTCTTTTATAAACTTAGTTTTTAAAAAATTTTTAGATAAAAAATTTTAAACAATTTAGAAAAGGAAATACTAACAAAATTGTAAGAAAATGCAACACATAAAATGTTACATGTGTTTTAGACACCAAATGCTGATGCTACTGTCTACACATATTATTTTACCACTAGATGTAGTAATACTCATTTTTTCCTAACGATTTTATTACTTGTAAATAAGTTTAATTAGTTTTGTTTAATCCTATTTATTTATCTTTTAACATTTATACCCCATTATATTTTAAGAAGGTAAAAGGTAGAGGCTGGGTGGCCAGCACGGAGCTCCAGGGGTTGGCTCCGCAGAGACCCCCGGGCAGGAAAGGAGCAGACAGCACTGAGGGTCAGGAGCTGCACCTGCAGGAGTCAGGGAGCCGCCAAAGGGTTTGGAGCAAGGCAGGACTGGCCAGGTCACTGGTGGCATGGACCAGAGGCCAGGGAGGAGGCTGGAGCTGGGGCAGCAGGGGAAAGATGAGAATGCAAGTCTTAGTGACCAGGGGAGGTGGGAGAGGACTGAGGAAGGGCCTCCCAGGCCCACCTCCGCCTGCCTTCCACCCACCCAAAAAAAAAAAAAAAAAAAAAAAGGGTAAAAGGTAGATTATAAATGTTTATTGTTCTACATGTAATATATAAGAAAAGAAACAAATGAAAACTTTGTATTAGAAGAAGAAGAGCATGAAAAATAAAATCAATAAGTAAAAGTTAATACAATGTGACTCTGAGATCTTGTAGACGAGGCAGGAATGAACCCAAACTGTTTTTGGTATCCAAAAGCGAAAGGCAGTTGTATGAATCGAAATGCCCAGAAGGTAAAGGATTATGCAAGTTCCTTAAAACCAGATGTTAGACACGTTTTGTACACCTTCATGGCTCTGATTTAATATACAGATTCTGAAATTTACAGAAAAAGTATTGTGTTTAGCTGTTACATCATTCTTTTAAAAATTATTATAAAATACAAAGCCCCTGAAGCAAGCAAATTAACTAAATTAAGTTACAGTGATTTGTTTTCAGTCGTCCAACAATTCAGCGAGAAAGCGCCTTAGCCGTGATCCTGGCTGGCAGGATGTACTGCTGGCTGCAGACCACTTGGGCAGTGAATGGACACCGAATGAGAGGGTCCTACCGTGTGGACAAAGGGCAGGCCGGCCACGCTTCCCGCACTTACCTAAGCTCCTGAGAGTTGGCAGCCATGAGGGATTTCAGAGTCTTATCTGCCAAAGGACATCCAGAAACACTAGAGAGGATGAGAAAGAACACAGCACAACACTGATGTACACAACTCGGAGTCAAACGATCCTGAGTCCCGAACATGTATTAAATCATTGGTGGTCCGGGGGTGGGAAAACAGTAACTGGCTTTGAATCTGGCTGTCCTGTTCTCACCAGTCTGGGCTATTGTCACTTCAACTACTTCTCGTAGACTCAGATTTTCTATTTAGCAAATGAATGGCTTTAGCCAATGAGGCTCCCCACCTCCAAAGCTCAGGGATGCAATGATCATCCACACACAGAGTCCATTCCTGCTGGACCACCAGGTGGTGGTGCTTTTCCAAAGGGAAGACGAATTCCATCGATGGAGAAGATAAGTGGAAAGATTACAGCTGCCCCTTTGCACTGCTTAATCTCTCAAATGCCTCAATTTGTTATTTGCCCAGGACTGAGGGTATTACTTCCCCTGGGGCAAATGGTCAATTCAAGTCACTCTGTTGTCTTTACTCCTTGTCCTCAAGCCACACAGAACTGAAGCCTGACATGAGCTCAGCTTTTCACTTATAACCTGGGCTATAGGATCAGAAAAACACTTTGACCAAGAATCATGACTTTTATGCCACATAACTTTATTTCTGAAAAACGAAATAAACCGAAAACCCAACCAACTCACTCTCCATCTCCCGCTTCAGATAATACCTGGCTAGAGGCGGTGAGAATAAGTATTCGAAATAGAACAAGACGACGAAAATCGGACTGCACATGAGGCCCTTTCGTACCTGCGATGAGATGCATAGTTTCCTGTCACGTGGCCACTCCCATCACATCCAGGCGTTGGGCAGCTGAGTCAATAGAAAATACATCATTAGAGTCAAGTGCATGTCACAGGTTCATTTCCTCTGCCCAGTAGATTACGGAGGAGGTAGCTTCTCTGTGCAAGATAAATTAACACAGTATAGGACACGCAGAAGCTAGTGTATCAAGGATTTATATTATATGAGAACCAGTAGACTATCTAAAAGAAAACTAAAAATCATAGCCTGAGTTACTTCCTTAGGTATCTGTTTCCACATCACATTCGATTCTCTGATTCTGTTGATGTGGGAAAGTGTTGTCCCTGTGATGCTGTCAGCTACCAATCAATAACGTTTTAATTCATTTGGAAAATGTACATGTTATAAACAATAAATATTGGAAACCCACACTTTACTATGATAGCAGATCTTAGGAACACCAGCACCAGTTATATGACAGATTCCAGAAAGGAATTTTTGTGAGTTTTTAAGAGCAATGCAACCTAGTAACTTCATAAACATTTTAGAAACCATTGAAAATCTTTGACTAAATGTAAACAGGTACATTCAGTCAAAAATTGTTTATTCAAGCAATTTCACCCAAAGCTTGAAGGCAGCAAAGACAATTGGCAATTCACCCGTGGCATTAAGAATAGGCTCTCAGCCCATCTACCAAGAATCTCACTCCATTAAGATCTGTGCCCCTGCATTTCATTTCATCTCAGAACCTGGCCATGTCCTGTCCATCCTATATGTGTTATAGAAATAATGTAATCAGCTACTCAGGAGACTGAGGCAGGAGGACTGCTTGAGCCCAGGAGTTCGAGGCTACAGTGAGGTATGATTGTGCCACTGCACTCCAGGCTGGGTGACAGAGTGAGACCCATCTCCAAAATGATAATAATAATGTAAGAGGGTAGTTAGTTATCCTTAGTAGTTTTCTTCCACAATTAATAGATTCCTTGGTTTCTCAGTGATTTGGTTTCCTCTGATGTGGTTTGAAAGTCACTCATTTGTAACAAGTGGTGGATCCCAGCCTACTCAGTGTCATTCGTGGTGGTGTCAGTAATCAGAGGGGAACGTCAACCACGCCAGTCACGCATCTGACTTTTTCTTTTTTTGACATCCTGCCTAAAGTGAGGGCTTATCCAGATACACAGAATACAGCCTTTACACTTTTGAAGGGACATTTTGGGATAGGTTAACACTATTCCTGTTTTCTGAGTTATTTTGTAAGTATCTTTTGTGATCCACTTTTGAAGGGACATTTTGGGATAGGTTAACACTATTCCTATGTTTTCTGAGTTATTTTGTAAGTATCTTTTGTGATCCACTTTCCAATTATTTTCAGGTTTCTAAAGAAACCATAAGAGTTAGAGCATTCCCATCTTTCAAAGGAATGTTTGTTTGATTTTCAGGGTCTGACCCAAGCTAAGTCATCTATCTCCCTTCCTCATCCCTTTTCCTGGATACGATACCAGGAAAAAAAAAACTGTAAAAGCTATAAATACATGTTAAAAACTAAAGAAAAAATAACAGTTATTAACATTTTGGCTGAGTTATCTTGCAAATGTCATTCACCCACCAAATGTAAAAAAAAAAGTTTCTGAACATTATACAACTGGAATATTTAGAGTGAGAGAGGGTGTCAATTGCCTGGGAATTCCCACTTTAGAAATATATCGCCATCTAGTGTTAAAAACAATATTGCATTTATTTTACATATATACACACACATATATATAACATATATTTGCATATATGTTATATTTTTATTTTTAAATTACTCCCATTAATATTGCCAGGAGAAGCCAAGAAGTTTCAGTAGTTTTTAAGCATCAGCTATAAATTACCTATAAAATACAATAATAAAATATTCATTCAATTAGCTGATTTTTTTTTTTTAAGTTTGGTGGTATTGAAAGGTCAAGATATAAAGAAAGAACTAGAGGCAGCATTATACAGGGAAAAGTTTCAGTTAGGAATTCTGATAGCTGCACTAAATTCCAAATCTACAGTGAAAATGCTTACATAGTGACATGTGCCAATATTAGTTGGGTGATATGTTTTGGGAAGGTTCTTGGATGAAAATATAAAAATTAAAAGAAAGAAACTAGCTAGTTATCTCAGTAAGTGTCACTGAAACCCTAAGGAAATTCTAAGATAATTAGTGACATCCAAAATATCCTAGTCTAAACAAAGTTTTTGGTAAGCAATCAAGGTACAATTATGTTAGAGACACAAAGGGAGACATAATGAGGACAGGGTGACACGGAGTGTAGTATGGCTTTCATGAGACAAATATACCAACACAGACACATGCAGATAAGTGATATCCGTTAAAGCACTCACCCTGTGTAAAATGCATGAACGAGGCCAGGCGCAGTGGCTCATGCCTGTAATCCCAGCACTTCAGGAGACTGAGGTGGGCAGACCACCTGAGGTCAGGAGTTTGAGACCACCCCGGCCAGCATGGAAAAACCATGTCTGTACTAAAAATATAAAAATTAGCCAGGTATGGTGGTGGGTGCCTGTAGTCCCAGCTACCTGGGAGGCTGAGGCAGGAGAATCGCTTGAACCCAGGAGGTGGTGGTTGCAGCAAGCCGAGATCAAGTCACTGCACTCCAGCCTGGGTGACAGAGTGAGACTCCGTCCCAAAATAAATACATACAAATTGATAAAATTAAATGCATGAACTATGAGGCCTGCATGAGAGCAATCTCCTAGGAATTTTTGGCATGATTATATTTCAAAAATCATTCAAAATCTTTTTGAAATCCTTCCTCTTTTGTATTTAGGTTCACACCAACATAGAGTGCCCATTGCACCTCCTCCTTCTGACCCACAATGGCCTTGTAGGTTAATTTCCAGTCTTTTACACTACATGTACTTTGGGATGACATCTGGCAATTTCCAGCAATCTACCTTCTAAGGATAAAAAGTTACCACTTTTGAAGATATTAAAAATAATAACACATGAAAAAACAAATACATACAAGGACGAAAAGTTTCAAACAGCAGGTCCACATGGGAAGAGGTGTCTGGCTGGCCTAAGAGGCTTCTAAGAAGTCAGAAGTGGCTTCTAAGGTTTCAGGTCACTGAACCGAAAACAGTGTTCAGGCTGATGTGAGTGCCAGCATGTCTGGAGCCATCCGTTATGTCGTCAGCCACCGAGCCCGGCAGGCATTAAGTTGACAAGGGAGCGTGCTATTTCAGCCAGTCATGTTTGCCTACAGAATCCTTAGGGATGCAAAGTCTAAGCTTATTTTAAAGCCACTCGCATGTCAGTAGGGCATACCGATGCCAGACTTGGAATAATGTTTGCTGAGCACCTGTTGTGTGTTCAGTAAAAATTATTCCTGTTCTTGACACTGGCATTTGAAACATGTTCCCTGGTCCCAGGTCACTGTCCATGTAGGTGGGGAAATAAGAGGCAGCACAGTACATATTCTGCACCAATGAGGCGGACAAGTTAGAGAATGAAGATGGAAAAGAGAAGACCCGTCATTTCGTGCCCTCTGAGGCTTTGTTCTTGGTGAGGATGGCAGAAAATAGAGAGTGGAGGGAAGGGAAGGAAAGATCTGGGAATGGGAGCACCAGGGCTGGGGGTGGGGAAGTGCAGTAGCCTGAAGGCCTCTTACATAAATGATGTTTGAGTGAAGAGCTTGGCTGAGGGAGGAGAGGATGTGGGCCCTGCAGAGGCTCTGGGAACAGCATTCTGGGCAGAGGGAACAGAAACCTTAATGCCCTGCCTAGTTCCTAGAGTGCATAGGGAAGCAAGAAGTCCAAAGAGGGAGGTTGGAGGAGGGGAGCACTCACCGCCCCTGTGGGCTGGTGTGTGGGCATCTGGAGGTCACAGCAGGGTGGCAGCCAAGGAGTCCTCAGCAGGGGTGAGTGCAGATAGCAGGAAGGAAGGGTCCCAGGACAGAGCTCTGAGGCACCCCACTCTTTAGAGGGCTACACATGAGTCTAGAAGGGGTCATGATGAGATGAGAGAAGAGTCCAGAGGTGAGGCATCCAAGAGGCCAAGTGTAGACAATGGACTGTGGAGGAAGGAGACCAGCTCTGTGGCCTCCTGCTGCCTGTCAAGTAGGAACAGGAAGATTCAGGACCAAGATCCCGACAGGGGAAGAGGGTGCTGAGGGAAGGAAGGTCCCTGGAGATCTGTCCGGGACAGATTCAGAGGGAAACGGAATCACACCGTAGCAACCACTTTCTGGATACGTTCAACTGGAAAAGGAAGGGGAGACAAAGCGTCCAGGTGGAAGCCGGGTCAGGAGAGGTTTTCACAGTTTGATTTTTTTTTGGAAAAGTTTTTTTGGAAACGTATTTTTTGATGAAGGATACAGAAGAGAAGGTACAGGCCTGATTCCTAAGTGGACACATTACTCTTTGCTAACCTCTCATTAACTGAGAGCTTTAAAAAGATTTACATATGAATAGACTTGATTAATATTTAATCACTTATACATGTGAAACAGTTTCCTGCATTTCATTCACTCACTCAGTCCCTAGTACATAACTCATACTGCCTTCGGGTACCCTGGTCTTTATACTCTTCTGGGCCTCAAAAACCATCCAAAAATGTGATGAAAATCATTAACTCCCTTGCCCAAATAACAATTTGCATCAAGTGTTAGAAGCTTAGTAGAGTCCCTGAAGCCAACCCTTAGATCTGGGGGTCAATGGATATCAGGTTAAGAATTTTGGGTCAAAACATAAGCTTTTCTAATTGTGTTATCTTATTTTGGTTTTTAATCAACACGTTTTTAATTCTGTTAGCATAAGACCACGTATACCCTCTTAGTTCAGGTTAGGTGCATGTTTAATGTTTAACTGCTAACTGGTAGAAATCACCCTAACATCAACTGCATAAGCCAAGATACTGTAACTCCAAGTCACAAACATGATTCTTCATTCCAGAACCTTAGAGGGCATGCATGGCATTGGGCACTACTTACGTGATTAGTTCCTTTTTGAGATCTCTTGCGTGAAGCTTGGGTTTGGGGCTTGGTATAGAGGTCTCTCCAGGATACTTTTTTTCCTCTAAATTTTCTAGAGAGCTCACTGGGTCTTTCTGGAAATAAAAAAATACAGAAGCCATTAGGAAACCCTGGAAAGATAAGTAGATTTAAAATCAATGGGGCCAGCCTTGAGTTTTGGGTTGGGAATTGGACTTGGCTGGAATGTCTTAGAGGATTTGCATAAGAAATAAATGAGATAATGAGGATGGGAATATGTCCTGATTGTTACAGATCTTCATTCTTAGTGAGAAAGGAAAAAGCATAACTGATATGGAACACCTTTCAAAAGTTCATGTTCAAAACAAAAGCTTGGAGTCACAAAGAAGAATCAGCACTCTGGCAAAAAGCTTTCTCAGCAAGGCGATTTACTTCTGCAGAAGGGTGCCACTCACACCTGGCATGGTTGCAAGAGTACACTGGGTGAGGGAGGGGAAGGGTTTCTTGTTCCTAACACAGCTAGTCTCTACTGCTGCATCGTGCCCCTACTGGCTAGGGTTGGACTGCACAGTCTAAGCTAATTCCAGTTGGCTGTTTTAGAGAGAGCAAGGGTATGAGCTCTTGTGGCATGGTGAGCAGTTTTGGCAGGAAGGACGACTACAGAGCAGGTGGCTAAGGATGACTAAGGACTCTAAATATGTGAGTATAAAGGCTAGAGGGGGTTGTTTACTGAAACTAAGGGCAAGGAGATGTAAAGAACCTGGAAGTTAAACTTTAAAATGGAGAAAAAAGAGTCAGGAAGCTGAACATACTGATGCACTGGTTTTCTGAAGAGGAACTTAGAACTCGTGCTTAACAGTTCACATTTTGGCAAAGATGATTGCAGAGGTATGTATTTCCTGAGCTATGTAATTAATATTTTAGTATGCTTCATGATTTCTTGTATAAGGAATGCTCCCTAGAGAGCACAGGAATTGTTTACATGTCCAGCAGTCATAACAGCAAAGCCAAAGAAATATTGCAAAAACAAATCAAACTTTTAAACAGAAAAGGAGAAAGTAAGTTTAGGTTAACAGAATGCCCTTTCTAATGTACAAGTAATTAAGATCTAAATTATTTGTTTAACTATGTAATAATTGAGGCTTACTGTATTCAGGCATTTAATTTGATCTTTCTGGATAATAGGTTTTATTTTTATATCACTTCCTGTTTTTCTGAAATTACTTCTGTTGTTAAGTTGGTGTCTTGTAGCACTTTCCTTCCTTGATGGAATATCTTGTTAGATATCCCTAGTTTTTATGTTCTTAACTTTAATACTGAACTTGATTTCATAAAGAAGATTTCCTAATTCTTTCAAATAATTTATTTACCAGGAGATGTATTATTTCACAGATAACTAATGATGGTTTTTCTCAATCACATAATTAGCTTCCTTTCATCATTAATTTTATATCCAGTAAATATCATACTTTCTGGATTTAATATTAAAATCAGATTAACTAATATAAAAAACTGTATTCTAAATCTCGAAAGTACTGATCTATTTAAGATAAGTAAACAATTTTGAATTGTTCAAAGTAAATCTTTTTGAAAATGAAATGAACATAAAAATACTATAGCATAATATAATTTTTGTAATTCTGAGTCTACATTCAAAAGCAATGAGAAAAAACAAAATTCGTGGATTTTCTCAACCAAAGAAAAATTCTAAATACTGATCTCAATCGAGGCAAATGTAATATTTTTCATTAATTACTTGGATGACATTCAATCAATTATTTTACACAAGAGCAGACTGTAGTAAATACATTGGTACACTGTCTCAAGGGACGTTGTCTTCAGATCACATTAATACAACCTGATTCAGGACCATTTCTCCACATTATTCATGGTGTTACATGTTTCATTTTGTTTTACCAGTAAATGTTTGAAAGTAGAAGCTGATAAAGATTCACTGTTTAAAAATAAAGAGAAATGTATGCTTGATAATAACTGCGCACTCAGATGCAAAGACAAGTGCTGGTTTCATGCTGCCTCTGTGGGATCTACAGCAAAACAGATGATCGAAGCGCATCCTTTCAAAGTTTTACTCTGTAAATGGCTACAATGAATCGATTCCAAATACTAAGGCCGTAAACCTGATCATTCCACCATCCACTCCATTTGGTCCTATCTGGCTTTGGCCTGAGTAGCATTTTCCACTATTATTTAGAAATGTCTTGGCTTTTGGAAAATAGAAACAAATGCTAAATCCGATATTGTCTCAATGTGGAATAGCCTTTGTTTTTCTGTTTAGATGCTGATTTTTTTTAATAAAAATGGCGTAAAAGAGCCATTTTATTATTTATGACCGAGTTAAGAACAAAGTCTTTCTAAGAAGACATGTATATTTAAGGACAATCACAAGCTTCCACCTGTTGTTTTGGGGCTGAGTCTATACATTACAGAAGGCAAGGGAGTGAGGAATTTTGAAAGAAATAATCAATTATGAAAGTTTAAGTTATTATTTTACTAAATAATACAAACATAAAGCTTGCAGAGTGTATGTGATTTAATTTGGTGTAGTAATACATGGTAATGTTTCAATAAGATAATTTTATGGCATACGACCTTTTAAGTATTTTGTAACTTTTCTTTAACACATAAACTCATATGCATACAATTATTTTATGAAATAATTTTTTTTTCATTTTTTTCTTTGCTCAACGTTCTACCCTTGGAAACCTGCAGAGAGTATATGTATTAAAATCCAGGTGGCTGTCACTCAAAGAATCCATTTTGTTATGGAGGCATCATGTATTGAAGGAATTCCTAAACAGCATTCAGTGTAAATCCATAGCATTTGAAAAGTCTTTTTTCAAAATTTAAAATATCGTTTTGAAAAATAATAATTTCATTTTGTGGATATGTAAAAGAGGATGTGGTATGCATGTGTGTGTTTAGAGAATACACACATGCAATGAAATTCTTTCAACGTACAGATGGAAGTTTCTATTGATTTCAGTAAAGAGCAGGACATGACGGTGACATGAATAACAGATAACAGCATCTGGCACTCTTAACATTTTAAGCCCTGAAATCTTTGGAGAACTGACAGTTGAATGAAACTGACAGCCCTAGTTATTTCTCAACACTTTCCTTCTGAGAGATTTTGAGTTTTTTCCAGATTCAGGATTTTTTTTTTTAGGGGGCATCTGGACAGGCTATTTCACTGAGAGAGACAGACAATATTTTCTGAAAATTACCACCAAAATTAAGCAACTGTTGTGCATATGAACTAGATAACAATGAATTAGAAATAATCACTCAATTTTTGGTTGTGTAAGTGTCTTATGTGGTGCGGGGAGAGGGAAGCGACAATGGGAAAGACGTGGGTGGGAGCAGGGACACACCACAGCCCGGTGTCCAAACGCGAACAATAGGTTTTCCAGGCTGCCCACGGCCATTCCGGGGAGGCTCACTAGTAAGTGCATTTTATGGTCCCATCGCGTGGACTTGCCTGGGCCACAGGAGCTCCAGCCCTGCACCCACAGAAACACTTTAGACAACTGTTGTCCCCAGTGCACATCCCCACCTGCCATTTCTTCTTTCTTCTCTTTTTTTCTTTCTTATTAAATTTTTCTAAATATTCCCTAAGTGGTCTTCCGGTTTTTGGTGATTTTTCTTTTCCTTTACCTTCTTCTTTTTTTTCTTTGTCATAGGGAATATCACCTAATTTCACATGATCAGGAGCAATAATTTTACCTCCCCGAGGCTCAAATTTCTCCTCTAAAAACTTTGATAATAATCCTTCTTTTCAAGCTTGTAGGGATAATGAGACATTGCGTATAAAGGTTCCTTGTCTTTGTTTTATTGGACAAGGTATCCCTCTGACAGCTTCTCAGTGAGAGCATTTAATACAATCTAATTTTTATATTACCTACCAAAGACTACATTTTTCATTTTCAAGATTCAGAACAGGATGTGAAAAATACTGTTAATATATTACCTTGGCGCAGTTGAAGGAACAGAGAAGAAGAGTGAGAAGCTGCATCAGGAGTTACAGTAATTCAGAAGCCCTTTTACGCGTGTGTCTCCATCAGCCTTAGCTTCCCAAAGCAGTGAATCACCCTGTTCAGATAGCTGGGACAATAAGCACCTAGCTTAAAAAAATATTCTATCAGTGCAAACCTAGGGCAAGCGCGTTGAGTCCAAGAGCTCACTTAGCCTCTCCAAAGTCCTCTCCGGCACCCTTAGTGACACTGAATTCCCACATAACTTCTGAATTCCACATGTCACAACACCTTGGTTGAAAACTGTAGCATCCAAGCCTGTATTGTCAGACCTGGAGTAAGTAAGCCATTCTGTAAACAGTATAAATCCACTCTAAAGAATCCCATTTTGTGTGGGAGAATTTGCTGGGAAATGAAAACTGTCCCAGATCTACGTGCATGAGATAAAAACATACTCCAGTTAAATCTATACAGCTGCTGCGATGAATCCGGATTTCTTTTTTGGAATTAAGCAAAAACAAGATTAAAAAACAACATAAAATATTTCTTATGAAACCTCGTTTCCTGGCTTTCTGGGTGATAAGAGCTATGGCTGAGACAGTGATAGGAACAGGTCTCTGAGAATATGAAGAGTGCAATGTCGACATCGTGCTGAGGACACAAAAGTCTAATCAGTGCCAAACAGCACAAGACACCCTAGATGAAGGTGAGAATCCACCTGAGGCAAATGCACTTTGCTAGGAGTCAGGATGGGATGCTGATTCCTGACACTTTCTGGTGAATGCATTTAACAGAGTCACAAGGGTGAGTGCAGTAAGCCCAAGTGCCACTCTGCAGATGACGTTGAGACACGCCCAGAAAGGGGAACATGCTGGGATTTTGACCCTCCATGAAGCAGTTATACTTCATTCATAAAACACTGCTTGTCCTGTGACATAAGGACTTCTACTGAACCCACATCCGCACATCCTGGGCTGAGGGTCAGGTTCCCCTTTAGGGGTGTAGGTGCAATTGCCGTGATCTGAGCAGCAGTGGCCGGGCTGGAGGTGAAGCAGTGGTGTGAACTGAAGGACACTCCCTTACCCACAGCTAACATGTGTGTAGCAGGAATGCCTCAACAATTGAGATCTCATCACAGTTGTGCCTGTTAACCTGCCCACTTCCTGGCTGGCTGCTTACTTCCATTTCAGACAAGACATGCAGAAGGCTCAAGAGGTGTGAACGCTGGCAGATTTTAGATGATACACGTACACAGAATTAGGTGTAACCTCTGCTCTTTGGCACAAGCCTGAGATGGCAGTGGGCACAGTGGTCGGGCAAAGCTGGCCAGTTTGTGGTTGTCACTTAAGGCAAATGAGCTTCTTACATTTCCCAGGCATCAGTTTCACATTTGTTATCATCAAATACGTATTCTTTTAATAAATGGTTCTTCTAAATTTTACTACGATGGATTAATTAAGGCCATCCTTGGATGCTTTGGGTGCATTTTGAAAAATGAAGCAGAATAAAATGTCTAGGACCAGTATGACTGAGTCTGATCAAAAGCTGCAGTGTGTGAACCCCCTCATCCTTCCTTGTGATGGCTTGAGTGCTGGAGACACAGAGGCTGCCTCAGATGCTGAGGATGCCTTCCAGAGACCCACACCCAGCCACCCAGTGCAGGTAGCTCTTCTTCCCTCTCCACATGTGTGTCTGTGTGAGCTACTGTGTATCAGCGTGTTTGGTTACAGGTCGGTCCTCTGGGCACATGCATAGTGAAAGCGTGTTCTATTCGTCGCTGTATCTCCAGGTTCCATATCCCTGCCTGGACTTGGAGATGTTGGCAAAACTGTACTGAAGGGGAAAAGGAAGGAAGGAGGGAAGAGAGGGAGGGAGGAAGGGAGGGAGGGGAGGGGAAAAGAGAGGAGGGGAAAAGGGGAGAGGACAGGAGAGGAGGGGAACAGCCCAATCCTGTGATCCAAACTGTGTATGTTGACTTATACTCCGAGATGTTAAGCATGTGCAAAAATCAAGTTAGATCTCCCCATCCAAAGTCTCTGAACTTCAGAAAGCTGTAAAAGGCACCGCACACTTCTACAGAGAATGGCTACTTGAGTTCTTTACACATATCAACTGGCAAGCTCATCAACAACTTCCCTGACAAGCAGCAAAATAGGATCACTTACTGTAATAATTAGGGTCACATCTGCAATTACACAGAGTCTCAACAGCTGAGGGTTCCGTTTGTCAGTTTTTTGAATGACACAGAGCAGTCCATGGCTAATCAGGCCTAGGCCGCTGGCTCAAGCCGTAAGGTGGAAGTTAGATGATTTCCTACATAGTGGCTCCTTGTGGCTTTTGGGGGCAAAACCAACTCCAAGATAATTGAATACACAAATAAGTCTCCTTGACTTTAAGAATAATTCAATTTAGACACCCAGCATTTCAATCCAATGCCTCAAACAATGAGTCTATACATAGCTTTGCTAACACAAAGTTCCTTTGCAAAACCGAGGAAAGAAATTTGACACGACTCAAAAGATTCTTACTCGACCCTGATTTGATTTTGTCTTCAGCCCTCTGATTCAGAAAGAATTAGAAAGCTGGCATTTCAGTGTTGAAAGATACATTGCCCCTTACAGCTGCTATATGAAGGGATAGATCCTATAATCTCTTGGGCAGCACACAAAATTTCAGCCATAATAGGAGTAAAATTCACCGTAGCGACATTATTTTAGGAAAGTGATAATAAAAGTTGGATTTGTTAATAAATTCCCTCTGACATTAAAAATCATCACTTCATTAAAATCTAAGACAAGGTACAGAATTATGTATCCTCTAAACAGGAATGTGAAATATAATTTAGGAGGGAAAAGCTAGTTGTACCCTGTAATCACACTGTCTTCAACTTACTGATCGACATACGGAAACAATACCTCTTTCTCCTCCTCTGTCTTCCCGTGGGTTTTGCTATAGTTGATAGGAGTGTCCCAGCCCTCTTGGTCACAAAGAGCCTGATAGAATGCCGCATTGAGCAGAATGCTGCTTGTTTTGAATGGGGAAGAGGAAGGAGTTGGAATAGAAGTATTAGAGGAAGTTAGGGGTGCAGCCTTGTCCAGGATTCGATTTTTTTTCATGCTTAAGTCCAATGTGCCATTTTCATCCACGTCTATTTCGGCTCCCTGGTGTACAATAGGAAACAGAAAAACATTTAAGCCATTTGCAGTTATAGCCTAGCCATGTGGGGCTTTCAAGGGATCATTTTAAATGTAAGCTTTTATGGAAGTGTATCTGCTTTTAAGTCTAGCTTTCTGGTTTGCGTTGGGTAATGTTCAATTCTTAGGCAGACTTTTAAGAACAGCCCCATTAGTGAGCTTTGTGGTTTGGGTTTAAACAAAGTAAGCTTAATGTAAATAAGATGCTCCAAATTCTAAATGTATTGGCTCAAACGGCTTTGTAAACGTGTGTGTGTGTGTGTGTGTGTACAAATCTTCTTTTCTAGTTTACAGAATTATCTCTCCCAATTCATCATTTAAAGCATTCACATTTGTGCTTCTTAAAAGCATGTATAACTTCCCAGCCCCTCAAATCACAATATTAATCTCACATGAGAAATATGCAAAAATAACCTGCTGGAAGAGAATTTTTATTGGAATATTAAACTAATACAAAAGCAACATTTTGCCCTAGGCTATTTGAGCGGGAAATGCTTTGCTAAATTGTGGGGGGCAGGGAGAGGGAGGCAGGCACTGCAAACCACACTTCACCCCGGTGAGGGTGGGGGCTTTGGGTAGCAGCTGACACCCTGAGGTTGAAGCCCTGTGGTGAAAACCTCAGAATACTATAAAGGGGCTTGTTTTCTCCGCATTTGTGTGAGACTTAAAAAGCAATCCACCATACAATATTTCTTCTGGAGATACCTTCTACCTTTTGCCATGTGTTCCTTCTTGGTTTTGTTTTTTCTGTGTTGGGAGGAACAGTAGCCCATTCTGTACTTGGCTGAAGCTCCAGCAAAGTGCCCACGTGCTTTGTATGTTCTATAGGATTCGCATGCAGGGTTGGCTCATGTGGTGGCATGAATTGTAAACATTACCACACAGTCATTCTCAGAAGGTAGGAGGAAGGTGCCTGCCATTTTTCTAAATGGGTCAAGTGACACCTTTCTGGTATTTTTGCCATCATCCATCAGTTCAAATTAACTTCTTGAAATTCGGCTACTCTCTTTTTTTTCTTCTGGCTGGCCACTGTTCTTTGAATATTGAACAAGATCCTTAACTCCTGAGGTAACCAGCTATTTCCCAGGGGATTTGTTTTAACTCTTCCCTTTAAACGACCCCCACCCCCACCCCCCAAACAGGCACCACTGGGCTGCATCAACTGGGCTTGCTGCTTGTGCCTGACTTAGAAAATAAAAGCCCTTCTTTTATTTGCTTGTTTTACCTGCAACGTTCATATTTTCAATCTCTCGGCCTACGAGATAGATACGCTTTACTGTATTTGTGGGAGGTAAATACACTTCTAATATGTTGTACTAAGAACGTATCTTTCTGTCCCTTTTTAGTAAATAGTTTAATCTCTCGTGATAGTTTTAAGCCCCGAATTTGGCAGTACAGCTTATCCGGGATAATAACTTAGTAACCACAACATCTTATGCCATCTGTATAATATCAAATACGTTTTTATACCAGCATTAATAAACCTCAGTTACAAAAATCCAAGATCTTAACCATATCAGTGCCACATGTGCTCTGTCTCCATGATCTCACAATGTATTCTGCCAGGAGTGCATCAAAACAATTTTTGGCTTCGTAGCTGATATGTAAATAGCAATGAAACAGAGCTATAGTAATCAAGTTTAATGGCCTACGTAAAGTAAAATGCTAAATATTGTAGTTGCTGACATTTTTCACAAAAAAAAAATAAAAAAGGAAACTTGGGTTAAGACTGAACAACCAACATTCACATAAAATTCCAGACCTCTGTGACAGATGGCTTAGGAAAAAGAAGCCATGTGACTGGGCTGCAGAGTTTTATAGTGCAAAACCCATAAATAGTGCAGATTCGATTTCTCTGAAATATCAACTCTTCCAAGACAAGACTAATATATATTTTAGTTTTTACAGATACAAATTCTAAACAGTCCATTGAGACAATGATAGATTCTAGGAGTTGTTACAATTATACATTTTGACTCAATCACTCCTAATGTTTAAAAGAGGCGCTTTTCTACATCCTGCGCCCAGCCGGCTGCTCTGAGCACCTGACTTCGCTGGGAGAGAGCAGGCGGCTCACTGGGGAGCAGGGTACAGATGGGCTTTAAGTGAGCGCACAGATGCCTTCAACAATTACACGCAGTACCAGAGAAGGGTCCCTTTCTGCCCGTAGATGGGCGATCACACGTTTGCAGCATGGGCTTTTATTCAGAGCAGGATCAATGGGTATCACTTCTCTGTGTGCTTGAAACTCCAAATGGCAGCACAAAACGGAGGGAGGGGCTGGGGGAGCTACGGCAGACACGCGCCTCCACCCCGCAAACGTCTAGTGTTCTGATTTGCTCAAGGGCTATTTTGGATCTTTATTTAAGTATTTAAAGTTCTCTTGCGGGTAGGTACAGGATTACTACTACTCATGTTCTTTCCAAATTAGAGGTAACACCCTAGACCATCAATTTCAGCCACTTTTGAACCACGGATGCTACCTACGTTTTATTTACTCATTAGGTTATTGAGAAAGCACTTCATATTTTTAAGACACTATAGTCTAGGGAAAATAAAATTAAAAAATAGGTTGCTTTTGTCTTCAAGAAGCTTATTTTATGAATATAGATTTTTAGTGAAGATAATTTTATAAATGTAATGTAAATTACAATTAAACCGAAGGTTGAAATAATTGCTCATTGTAATCCTTATCTTTACTATAAACTAAGAAATGACCTAGACGGCCACTAACGGAGAAATACTTAATGAAAATATGCTACCCCTACTTAACGGCACATTATGTGGTCACGAAAGTGTTCACTATGAACCCTGTTTCTACATGGAAAATACTTATAATAGCACTGACAGCAGACAACAGTGTGCCATTCCTACTCTGCTTCCTACTGGGGAAAAAAGAGAGAAATGGGTTTTCTGAAAAAGAACAAAAAGGAAAACACAGAAGTAACTGCAGGCCTTTGGATCCAGAAGGTGCGCTGTGGCTATTTTCTCCCATTCTTTTTCAGGCAAATGATAACGTTACCCTGTTTTCGCGATTTTAAGTGGTGATGAAGTAAAAATAAAACTCTAATTTTATCTCAAATGTCACATTGTGAAAACTATTAATTTTCCTAACATTGATAAAACAAGAAAGCTCTGTTCTCCTGACGTGGCAAGCTGCCTTGGGAATACAGGATGGGTCACCTGCCATCTTCTCCCTGTTGACTTGGCTGAGAGAAAGTGCTAAACTCAGTGTCCTTCTGACCAGGTTTCTGCCGTAATTAGGGCCTGGCTTTCATCTCGCAGCTGATGTTTTTCATTCTTGCTTCAGGGTTTTTTGTTTTGGGAGTGTCTTTTCCATCCTGAAAGCAACCTTACATGTGTTTTCAAAGTAGGCAAGGTATTAATAAACACATGAAATGAAAATACCTTATTTTTACTAAACAGTGATTATTAAGACTGTTTAGATGATAAATTTGTGAAATACACTCAACATAAATAGAGGAGAAACCTCAGAGGAGAAATAACTAACATAAGGGGTAAAATGTAGGTGAAATTGAATACAGCTTCCATGAGATCTTTGGGACTTAAAACCATGGTCCATGCTGGCTGGCCAGCAGTTTAGGTCCTCTAAGATTTTAAGAAGTCAGACACCCATGAGTTCAAATTTCTGTTCCAACCGCTGCAGTCGTGCCTCTCAGAGAAAGTCATTTAGTGTCTGTGTACTACTATTTCTTCATCTGCAAAACGGGATGATAATATCTGCTTTATGGGCTGGGCATCATGGCTCACATGTGTAATTCCAGCACTTTGGGAGGCCGAGGCGGGTGGATCACAAGGTCAGAAGTTCGAGACCAGCCTGGCCAATATGGTGAAACCCTGTCTCTACTAAAAATACAAAAATTAGCTGGGCGTGGTGGCAGGCGCCTGTCGTCCCAGCTACTCTGGAGGCTGAGGCAGGAGAATCGCTTGAACCCTGAAGGTGGAGGTTGCAGTCAGCCGAGATCACGCCATTGCACTCCAGCCTGGATGACAGAGCGAGACTCTGTCTCAAAAAAAAAAAAAAAAAAAAAAAAAAATCTGCTTTTCGGAGATTCTAGAGGGATTAAAAAGGATTAATGTGAGCCACATGCTTACTTATAGTACCTGGCACATAACATGTCTTCCATAAATGACAGCTGATAATCATAATAATTTGACTGAATTTGTTTTTTCAACTTTTATTTTAGATTCAGGGGGTTGGACTAGGTTTTTGAATACCAAAAGGGACATGTCCCTAGGCTATTGTGCGCAGGGCTGGAAAGCCAATTATTAAATAGCTAGTTTCCTTGCACCGGGATCAACCAGTTCTTTGTGATCCCACACTCACGACCGTCATGACACTTCACTCACAATGTGTGGCAAACCTGCCCTGCTCTTAAAGTTACCAGAAAAGGCGGCATCAGGGTTCTCACCGCCCGGAGGGCCGCCAGACTTCCTGATACCAGGTGGCAAGAATGGCAGTGCCACATCATGTTATTTCTAGGCCGTGTTCAAGCACAAAACAGACTTTGAACTTTAAACATTTCAAGCAAGTGTCAATTTTTTGTTTTCTTTGAAGGCACACTCTGCATATGCCATTTTGTCTAAACAGGTGGGGAAAACACCAAAACAAACAACAGAATGCCTGGCAAGCAGCAGGGATGAGGATAGAGAGAGACTGCAAGGCCTGCTCCTACCTCTGGTGATCAGGGTGGGAGGAGGAAAGACAGCGGGAGTGCATCTGCCTGCGGCCTGCACCGAAGATGTGCAGCAGGCCCTGCGGACCCAGGACCCTCTCCCACCTGAGGCCCCGTGGCCAGACCAAAGGGGGCTTTTTGGAGCTGTGGCCCCTTTGTGTCTTCCGAATCATATTAATTCCAAATTAAAATGAAGGACATTATACACATCTCACAACCACATTCTAGAACCATGTTACAGTGGTTCATGCCTGTAATCCTAGAAATTTGGGAGACTGAGGCAGGAGAATCTCACTTGAGCCGAGGAGATGGAGGCCGCAGTAAGCTAAGATCACACCACTGCGTTCCAGCCTAGGTGACAGAGCAGATCCTCTCTCTCTCTCAGAAAGTTCTAGAATCAAAATAAGCTAATACCATGACTTACGCCTGTAATCCCAGAACTTTGGGAGGCTGAGGCTGGTGAATCACCTGAGGTCAGGAGTTCGAGACCAGCCTCGGCAACCTGGTGAAACCCCCGTCTCTACTAAAAATACAAAAATTCGCCAGGTGTGGTAGTACACACCTGTCATCCCACTAAGTGGGAGGCTGAGGCAGGAGAATTGCTTGAACCTGGGAGGCAGAGGTTGCAGTGAGTGGAGACTGTGCCAATGCACTCCAGCCTGGGCAACAGAGTGAGACTCCATCTCAAAAAATAAAAATAAAGCTAAGACTTCAGATGAAAGTACTTTGGCCATTATGTCATCCACTAAGCATTGATAGTGCTAAGTGTGTTCTCCCAGCTTAATTCCTTAAAGAGATACTTAAAACATGTCAGCAATGTTGGTGGGACAAATATATTACATACGTGCTGGATTGTATCATAACAAATCATTCCTTTGAAAATCTTCTGCCTTTGGGACATAATAGGCTCTGGGCAGTGGTACATGCAGGCTGGGGCATGATGGAAGCCTGCACTTGAAGGACGCTGGCTGAGCATGTGAACAGCAGTATGAGCCTTCTGTGTTGGGGAGGGGTGGATCAGTGACATGTTCCAGTGGTGGGGGCCACAGGACTTTGGAAGAAGGAGAACATTTTGGGATGTCCACACCATTTTTCGAGTGTGTAGGAAATCAAAGGTTTTTTTGCCCCTCTAAAATCAACCTCTGCTCCTATGATCTTCTGTAAGAGTAGTGATTTTACAAAGCACCAATTCAGATTGCCCATTAAACTTGGAGTCCGTTGTGAGAATACATACAGCCCGTTCATCTGTATTTGCCCCGACATGTGGGTGTGAAGGCAATTTGGGGGTTAGTGTTCTTTGGCTTGATGTCAAAAAGGCGGTGCCCATGGACGACAGTAAGGTCTGTAACTTATACTCCTATGGAGTGCTTCATGCAAATGAGAGATGCTCATTGCGTAAAAGAACCAGACAGAAGCAGAGGGGAAGTGAGAACTCAGCCCTCACCCAAGTTCTGGTCGAATTCATTGCAAAGCCACCATGCATGCCCTGGATGAAAGGAAGCTCACCTCTTCAAGCGTAGCTTTCTGCCGAGAGCCATGCAAGGCAGGGACAGCTCCCAGAGGGTCACTCCTTTCCTCTGCTTTCTTTGCCCTTTCTCCTCAAGGGCAGTCTGGGACTGACCCTAACCCGTGGCCAGAGCAGTCTAGCACTTAGAGGCCTTCGGTTGGTTTGGCTGAGTCCATCTCCCAGGATGTCTCACTAATACATTCAAAGTGCTCAGCTGTGAAAGTCTAGAGTAAGGAGAAGCTGTACATCTCAAGACCCTTATTTCTACACGTGAAACTCAGAGATCGATACACTTCAGCTATGAGAAATAAGCATACCAAGAGCCTGCCATAAAGGAAGAATCAAATCGTAGTGAAGAGAGAATCGGGCTACTATTCAATGTGGAGGCAAAGTCTGTCTCTGCTTCATCCCACATTAAGTAAAAGGCAGCACCGACGACAGAAGAGGCCCACAGTCAGGCATAGTTTCATCGGAGGTTTCGTTCTAGGGTGAATTACCTTGGCTCTCTCTCACTTTCACTAAAACAAATACCTTCTGTTAATTCAGGAATGTATGAGATTCTCTTCAACATGACGAAAATAAGATAACCAGGACAGAATTTTAGGAATTGTAACCGTTGTGTGCAAATGTGTGCACGTGCGTGTGTGTGCGTGTGCTTGTGCATGCACTGGCAGAAGGATTCTGCACACAGTGACAAACTAGGGGGCCATATTTATCCCATTTTAGCAACTACTATGCAAAGGAGACAATTTTCATGGGAAAATGGCTTTTAGGACTCCCAGCATGACAAACTCCTCTGGGAAGTCAATCTGTGCGCTCTCCATCTCTTCCACCCTTGTCACCACCAATTGCTCGGCTTCTGCGGTTAAGACTTAGTTGGCACTGCGAGGCTGAGGCATGCGGTGTGCTCCTGTCACCTGGGCATGCAGGATGAGCTCCGTGGAGCAGCCTGGCACAGAGAGCTCCCGCCAGGAGTCCGACAACATGCACTGGAAAGCGACTATTTGAATTTTTGAAACGTGTCCATTTAACAATTGCTTTTCTAACCAGAAATAACGTTTTTAAAAGAGAAGAACATATATAAACAAGGGGAAAAGCCCTGTAATTTCAGCCATCTTGGTTTGATACGTTGCTTGGTGTCAATGTCATAGAACATGGAGAATCTAAAGGTGAGAGGCAGAATTCTGAGGACCGGGAGCACATCTCCAGGTGCAGAGGGATGGCATCCATTCTAGAACCACTTACCCAAGTAACTTCAGTAACATCGATAATTATAACATTGGTAACTATATTCTCATAGGACAGCCTGAACAACCAATAATAAGGACTAAGAAGGAAGCTATTTTAGTGTTTGTCCAAGTAGAGGATTATTAGAATACATACCTCTTAAAAGGAGAAATTTATTCAGATTAAAAAAATAAATTTCAAAATAAAGTTGCATTTAAGAATTCCCTAAATCACCTATGTAAATAATTTGTGACTAGGAATCTTTTGAATTTGGCTGGCCTGGTATACATATGTATATGTTTTTCATTTTTAGAGGATGTGTTTCTCTTTGTTTAAGAATCTCATTTGTTTAAAAATGGTTTCTGAGTGATTTTTGGCCACCAACTCTTCCTGGGGCTTACTTGGCTCAGCTTTGTCCAGAAGCTAATTTCGATTCTTCTGTCAAATGCTCGGTGGCACCGTGTTACCTGCTCTCCTGAAGGCCTGGCACGGCTCAGGCAGCAGCTGACCATGCCGGGGACCGGCACACTTAAAGGGGAAAAGAAGAACTACGGTCTTCTCTTCAGCGCCAGAGTTTCAGGATGAGCATCTAACTCAGAAATCTTCCACCTAAAGCAAGCTAACACTTCGTCTCAAATAATTCTGGAAACTTATTTCAGTGGCTTCAGCCTTCTAGGTAGGGAAATCATTTGTTTGAGCTGAAGCTTTTTCTGTAAATGGGAGTTCCTGCTCCAGCTGACAGCAGGGGCAAACGGCTGAGCCGATCTGACAAGCTCTGTGGATCGCTGTGATTGTGGCATCAGAAGCCCTTCGCTGTCGAAGGGCATGGAGGAGCTTTGTGGGTTTTTTTCATCAAGTCACTTCTCATTGTCAGTTGGGAAGGAAAGGAGAGGGGACTGGAGAACTGTGATTAATGTCATGGGCCTCAGAAAGGTGGTGTTTTTAAAACTTCACGGAATGTGATTTTGTATTCGAATGCTCTGAGTTCTCAACCTTCCTGGAATCCCCTCCTGTTGATTTCGTGTATTCAGGTTATGGTATGTGTCCTTGGAGAATGCTATAGCAACTTAGACTATCTTATGTCATACAGCAGTAACATGTGCAATGATAAACCGTCATGTGTCGATTTTGCAATGTTTTACAAGCCACCATTTAATCACACATTTCTTACCATCTTTGGTTTGCAGACACTGAAAGGCTTCCATTGTTTAGATTTATTTTAATAGCAATCCTCTTTTCTTGTGTGCCAAATTCCCCATAGCAAAAACAGCTTTGAAATGTGTAAATTCTCCCCAACCCCTCTCTGTAGCTCACTTCCCCCCAACTTTGGTACCCTATTCAAGAAGAGCCACAGAGCAAGAAGTGCACGCTTTCATCCTTCCCGGGCCCCACCAAGCTCGTCCCTGTCTGCGTTGCTCTGAGTCCCTTCCTGAGACAGGGAGGGGGTCGCTTCAGAGGTGGGGGAGCGGAGTGGTGGTGAGTGTGGTTAAATACATGAAAGGCAGTTTATTCTCACGGTTCAATCGCTGGCCCACCCTCTGGGCTCTTGGACTGACCTACCTTGGCATGCAGACTCTGTGGCTTGTTGGAGAGGATGTCTGTGGCTTCCCTGCAGCGGGTGGAAAGGTTCAGGATGGCAGCAGCTGCTGCTATGTGGGTGTCTTCACTACATTGACCGTAGCTATAAGAGCTGGCACGGCTAGGGCTCTGGGTGTGGGCGTCTGCGCTAGGCAGTCGATTAGGAAATTTCACTGGATTTGAAAAATGCTTTGCTGTTGAAGAGAGATTTGATTAGCAATTGCATGTACGTGGTTTCAGTCATTAAATAGATTTGTTTTTTAAAGATACAACTTCTCGCATTGAAATATGTGAAGAATAAATTAAAACATGATCCATTATCCATGGGTACATTAAATGAGGGTTGTCCACACTGGTTTTCACAGAGATTCATAGAACAAATGATGTAGATGCTGGGAGAGGATGCCTATTCTCTTAATACTTTTATATTTAAACTTCTTATGACAAGAACTCCATAACTAACGTTATGGGGCAGGTGCACTGGCAACATTTGTGGCAAAAATTGCAGATAAAAAACACACTAGCAAAATCCACCAGGGATTACAGAGTTTAAGGCATGCCCATTGGAAAACTGCATATATGGGAGGACCAGTGATACCAGTGGCGGAAAAAAAAAAGTGTCTTTTCAATATTTGTTTTCCCAGTAACAACTTCTACTTAGACATGGAATTGTATTTGTATTGTTTGATATGCAGGCTTGTTTTGTCCCTTAACCAGTGGAAGTTGTTCATTCAACTAGATGGAACTAAATCGATGGTGGAGTCTCTAATGAGCTGGCATTTTGCATAGTCAGGGAGAGAGACAAACGAAGGGCAGGGAGGAAATGTTCTCAAGGTGAACAGAAAGGCAATTTAGTTATCAAGGCTGACTTTCCATTTTGTGCTTCTGTCGTGGGTACCAAGGCATCACCGAGAAAACAGAATTAAACATATTTCTCTTCATTCTTGAGTATTTGTAAACATCACTCAAGGTTACAGGAGAAACACTTAAGGTTTAATGTGAACTCACATAAAAGCATTTAGCTTTTTATTTTACGTTACATATTTTTTATTTTAAATATTTGACTCTTTGTAAAACAAAATTTAAAACACTGGCAAATGTTATATTTCTATAATCACAAGAATATGAAAATGTCACTGAACGTTTTGCACTTTTAAAAATCAATATCCATACTCTATGAGTCCATTGAGTGCTCTTATAAACTAGCTTCACTGGAATTAAACATATACATATGTGTGCATATTGTGTGCATATATAATAAACTTGTATATCTATATAGGCACACACAAAACCGCACAGATAGATAGATATAAAACTGTGTGTATAACTTTTCCGCTAAATCTAACAGGTTGTTAGTGGTTATTTATGTTGGTTAGAACCTATTTTTGGTAAGATCAGGCAAAATATCTTTTGGGGTGTAATGTACCTCTCCCTGATAGGCGAATTCCTTTTGAGTCTGTTTACTACTGGGTTTGACATGGAATTCTAGTTCTCTGAAAGAGTTCCTCAGCATCACACAATGAGCTAGACATTCTGTTAAGAGCTCTCTGGGCCGGGTGCAGTGGCTCAACCTGTAATCCCAGCACTTTGGGAGGCCGAGGCGGGTGGATCACGAGGTCAAGAGATCCAGACCATCCTGGTCAACATGGTGAAACCCCGTCTCTACTAAAAATACAAAAAATTAGCTGGGCATGGTGGCGCGTGCCTGTAATCCCAGCTACTCAGGAGGCTGAGGCAGGAGAATTGCCTGAACCCAGGAGGTGGAGGTTGCGGTGAGCCGAGATTGCACCATTGCACTCCAGCCTGGGAAACAGGAGGGAAACTCTGTCTCAAAAAAAAAAGAGCACTCCGTTTCAGTAACCTGGTGTAAGTTCGAAGGGATTCTATGGCTATGCAGAACACCGTAAACACTCGCGGTGCAGGAGAACTCAGCGTGCACACCATTTAGCTGCTTCCTTTAAGGAAGTTAAGTGACCGCAATGAAGAAGTCACGGCCTCTGTTGGTTCCCGAGGTTTACTTTCGCACCTTTTCATTAGAATGTTTGAGGACTCCAAACAACTTGAAGAAATGTGTAAGAAAAACCACCAGGTTTTATACATTGCACCCTACTCAAGTTACGGTCTTCTATGTGGATGTGTTAGCATTAAAGAATATGAATGCAGTTTAAGTGTTTCCGTTTGGGAGTGAACATTCCCACAGCCACACGGTTTATTCTATTATAGTAAAATCCTGACTCTAGAATTGTTTCTTACACTTCTTACCTTCCCTTTCACCTTTAGTTTGAATTATTTTGCTGATTTAAGTAATTTTTTAAACAGCATTTCAACACTTTACCTATCGAAGTTCCATAATTTCTTTCTTTTTTTTTTTTTTTGAGACAGAGTCTCGCACTGTCGCACAAGCTGGGGTGCAATGGCACGATCACCACTCACTGCAATGTCTGCCTCCTGGCTTCAAGCAATTCTCCCGCCTCAGGCTCTCGAGTAGTTGGGATTACAGGCACCCACTACCATGCTTGCTAATTTTTTGTATTTTTAATAGAGATGGGGTTTTACTATGTTGCCCAGGCCTGTCTGGAACTCCTGACCTCATGATCCACTCTCTTCAGCCTCCCAAAGTCCTGGGATTACAGGTATGAGCCACTGCACCCATCCAGATTTCCATAATTTCAATAAAAATAAATATTACTGCATTACAACGGTCATCACATTTTTCAATATAGTAATCCAAACTCCAGCTAACTATGAATTAAATATTTCTTTAGAATTATTATATTTAGATTCAACAGTAGCATCGTATTTGTAGAATAATTAATTCATTAACTACTCACTATGTTATGTGTAACTTTCAGTATAAAATCAGTAACACAACTTATGATCATTTTCCTTATTGTATTTCACTCTCCCGCCAGCTGTCTGTAGTATATCATGTATCTAAGTACGTCCCCCAGCCCCCGACACACACATAAGCCCATACACAAGAAACATTTTGGGAAAATGAGTATTAGAACTCAAAGCTTACATTCAGGAAATGGTGGTGTTTTTCGTCCTTGCCCTGTTTGTATGAGAGGGCGTTTACCAAAGACTTGGGCATCAAAACTGGCATAATCAAATGGTACTTTTCCAAACTTTTCCTGTTCTTTTGACACTGTGGCTCTGGAAGAGGTGATGGCTTGTGACGGGAAATTGAATTCAATTTGTTTCACCAAGCTTGTCCTGGAGAGCAGGGCGAAGTAGTACAAAAGAAATACAATGAAACTATTGGTGGGCACGTTACTGTCAATTTACAGAAGATACCTACCGCTGAAGGTACCCACAGAGACACTGAACAGTAAGAGAGACAGGGTCATGGCAGGACAGAGCAGCGTGCTCCGGACCCACAGTGAGAGATGGAAAGATGTGCTGGGCTCTGTATGGCTACGATGATGCTGCCAGGCCTTCCAACAGCAAATTAAGAATATGCAAATTTCTTCATCTTATGAAGAAGTCATGAGCAAATATTTGATGCTTGCTAGCATTCTGAGTTCTTAAAGAAAGCCATGTCAGGTGGGTGCAGTGGCTTACGCCTGTAATCCCAGCACTTTGGAAGGCCAAGGTGGGTGGATCATCTGAACTCAGGAATTCGAGACCAGCCTGGCCAACATGGGGAAACCCCCATATCTACTAAAAATACAAATATTAGTCAGGTGTGGCGGCACACTGCTGTAATCCCAGCTGCTCAGGAGGCTGAGGCAGGAGAATCACTTGAACCCAGGAGGCAGAGGTTGCAGTGAGCCAAGATCGTGCCACTGCACTCCAGCCTGGGAGACAGAGCAAGACTCCGTCTCAAAACAAACAAACAAACAAAAAACTATGTCACCATCAGTAAATACTGGTTAAGGCACTAAGGCACTGACAAGGTGTGCATGTTCTGCTTGTTAGAATTGTTCATAAGGTCGGCAATGAATAGTCACAACTGTGACCAGTGAGGAAATGTCCTTATATTCCGTTCAGAAGAAGTGATGCTCAGCTCTGCTCAGTCCTGCAGAGCTGGCAGAAATCTGATGCCTAAGAGGGGCAGCCAGAGACCCGAGATTCGATTCCTGAATTGGCAGTTCCTTTCTGGACTGTTCACCTTTTTCCCCTGTCTTCAGTCAGAATGTTTACGCTGATTTAAGTATTACTTCAAATAGCATTTCAGTATTTTATCGATTGAGTTGGCATCATTTCATATGAATCAAAATTACTGTATCACAATAGCTATCATGTTTACAACATAATTATCGCAATCTAAGCTAAGCGTGAGTACTTGGATTAAACAAAGGCATCACATTTGCACAGCACTGATTCCAGTCAAATGAAGCACAGAGGACTTTCTGCTGTGGTCTAATGGTAAGAGAACATAAACAAATATACCGTTCAACATTTGGCGATATTAAAATATATATTTCTCTCTCTTTTCCACCGAAAAGTGTTAAACTCGTTAGAATGTCAAAGTTTTCAATGAGGTGTTTTGGATTAGATTCGAAAAAATCTTTTTATCTGCCATAGAAACATATCTGAGCAATGAATTGATCTTGTTATTGTCTATACAACTTGGTTGAGAGCCCTAGAGCTGCAGATATACTCTAATATAAAACAATTTTAAACCTTTAAGAAATGAACAAGATGAAATGCAATGTCCTTTCTATTTTTGCTAACTAACTTACTTGGGGGGAAACTAGAGCATACGGTCATGCCAACCAAGAATCCTCCTTTAAGATTTTCCATTGCTACTTAGTAATTCCTAATTTTCACCTGACATATGTTCTTCACGCATGTGATTTCAATGCCAATTTTGACTCTTTTAATCAAATCTATAGAAGCAAAATATTAAGGAAAGTCATATCTTGAAAATACGGAAAGGTCTAATGACTGGTTTTGCACTTCAGTGAGTCAGATAACTATCATCTAGCTTAACCCTGAAATCGTCTTCCCTGCAAAAACGATCTTATGGCAATAAACATATAACCTCCCACTAAATATCATCATACATAGTTTAGTATTTAGATATAAGATCTTCCAAATTTCTGGACAGCACAAAGAGCCTGGGAGCTACCAGGACCACTAGGGGAGATTCTATGAATAGCTGTCAATCATGGAATGAATTTTTGTTTTAAAGACATTACATATGTTTGTGGAACTGAAGAATAAATACATAGCATCACATATTTCAGGAAGGTAGGAGTGACTTTGGATGGCATTTTCTCCAGGCAGAAAGGTGAAGTCAGTCATAAAGCTTGCTCATCTGACTGATGGGTGTACTTAGTAACCCATAATTGTGATTCATACATGCTATCGTGTATTAATTCTTTTAGATTCACCTCCAATATGTTGCCTTTGCAAAGAGATGATTTTCTAGTTTAACTTCTGGAGGGCTCGGTAGTTCATTTCAGCGACGATGTCATTAACGAGACCAGCCTCTGGTCTAGTGGGCTGGGCTGTACACCCAGGTGTCCTAGGCTGAGTGCGGAGGACGAGCCACAGGGAAGTGACACACGAAGGACCAGAGGCCCTGCTGTGCAGGAGCCAGGAGGAAGAGAGCACCGAAGACATTGTGGGGAGTTCCTACCTGTGGGCCTGGTCAGGACACTGCCCAGTTTGGGGAGAATCAAGGTGATTTTTATCCTGGGACATGGCCAATTTCTCAGCTGCAGCAATTGGACAACCAGAAAGACTGTTTGAAAAAGGAAACACGGGAGGACTTGAGTTAAAATGATAATACGATTTGTTTTGGCATGTGCCTCACAGCACACTTGGCACCCACTAAATGTTAAGTCATATTAATAGTTCACTTAGTGCCACGCACACACTGAAAGATCCCAAAGGGTTTTGCAAACCACAGTGTCGACGCTTGCTCCCATCCCCATCTCAGAGGTGAAAGGTAACAAACTCATTTTTAAACAAAAACATTATGTGAGGGCTAAATAACGCAAGCATTTGGAAACGTCTTGATATTCTAAGTGAACGTGCTCCTTCCGATTGCAACGTGTCCGACTCTAGGAGTCAGCTAAGTCCTTGACTTATCTTAGCATCTTTAGAAAAATTTTAGAAACTCAGTTCTTTATCTTAGTTGAAATTCTAAGTGCAGAATATGAAGTTTTCTGGCATAGTGCTTGTAAGTCAAATGGCACCTCATCACCATGTAATCTACTTGTAATATAAAATGTGAATATCAAATGATCAGCATTGTCACCCCAAATATTTATGTATACATAATACATTTGCATGTAAATGCACATATGTGTGTTTTATGCTAGTTGCGATTTCAATGGAATGCTGTGTACCCTCCACCTGGTTTATAGTCACAACCATTGAAGCCCTGTCGGTACCTTTTTAATGTCTATTGGATGGAATCCAGGATAACCCAGAAGCAACTCTTTTCAATGTCAAAACAGCAATGATGAGGTTCCGGTGCAAAAGACAGCACATTCTGTTCGTATGATTATACGAATAGGGAACCCCAGACCTTCAAATATAATAGTTTTTCATTATCATAACTGGCTGCTAATACTCAAATTTCTAAGAAAGGAAATGGTGAGGTCCTTTCTCTCTCTGATGATGCTGAGAATATTTCTTCTCTGTTTCAAGTGTCACATTTTGGACACAATGCAGCCATTTTCATCACACATCGCTAACCCATTATTTTATTGGTGGAATGGTTCCCCCACGTTTTTAAATGTAAAATGATTAGCGTCTGATGAGAATTACCTCCTGTGGGTGTTACGGTTGCTGTTCACATGACCCCTTCCTGTGCATCCCGGCGTGGGACACTTGAGCACATTTTCATGCATGGCAAGAACTAAGCACGAAACAGCACATAGAGGAAAGAAAACTTTACCGTAAGTACAAAGCACACGAACACATGTATCTCTCAGCTTCACATTCAGATGGCTTCAGTTACATCATCCACCACGCTCCCTCTCTATATATTCATACACGAACAAGTGAGCATGGAAGAACTTCAGAAATTAACTCCAGCAAGCTTGATCAAGTTTTAATTTCCCTAAACTTCATGCTATGTTTACACTGGACTTAAATGAGATGATTCTGCTCATATCTCGTGTAAACTGAGAAGCTCATGAACTTCCCTTCACATAGATGTTGTTTTCCTTGGGGGAGAGGACAGAGAACACTATTTACCATATAGTTCTTTCCATCTGCTCCCTGCAGCTCCAAGCTCTGTTTATAGTCTTCTTCCTTTTTTATTTTTTTTTTTGTTTTGAGATGGAGTTTCGCTCATTACCCAGGCTGGAGTGCAATGGCGCGATCTCGGCTCACCGCAGCCTCCGCCTCCTGGGTTCAGGCAATTCTCCTGCCTCAGCCTCCTGAGTAGCTGGGATTACAGGCACGCGCCACCATGCCCAGCTGATTTTTTGTATTTTTAGTAGAGACGGGGTTTCACCATGTTGACCAGGATGGTCTCGATCTCTTGACCTTGTGATCCACCCGCCTCGGCCTCCCAAAGTGCTGGGATTATAGGCATGAGCCACCGCGCCCGGCCAGTCTTCTTTATTTTCTAAGTGATATTATTTTATTCTTTCTCCATCCACCCCCTGCTCCCCACACCCCACTGCCATTTGGTTACTGGGAGAAAAGGATGGTTGGGTGAACAGCCAGAGAACCAGTCTGAGGAACTGCTAATCCAGCAGAATAGCACTGAGCTGACTAGACTTAGTGACTTGCAGAATCTCACTCCCGAGAAGGATGATGTTGAGCACTTCCATTTTTGCAATTTGTTTTGGCCCAAGAGATGTCTCAGTAACTCGGTTCACAAAGCGGTGGATGGACCAGGTCGATGTTTTACCGCTCAGAAGGTGGCTGCCCTCTGCTTCACAGCCAGTGGAGAGCTCACAGCGGGGCTGAGGGCGGAGAGGGGGCCGAGGCTCACAGCGGGGCCGAGGGCGGAGAGGGGGCCGAGGCTTGCTCCTGCTCAGGGACCTCTCCTGCCGCAGGACATCCCGAGACAACATCAAGGAGGGCGTCCCCACTGCGGGAGGAGGCCAGGAGGACAACGGTGACTGCTATGTGATGCCCGAAGGCCGCCTGGTCCTGAGCTTGAGGAGGCCATGCCTCCAGGTGAAAGACAACTGTGCAGTCACAGAGTTTAATAACCACGCCTTAATTTTATATTCTCATGATTTAATGTCTGGGGCCTTGCTGACTCTGGGGGGACTGCCCCTCCCAGGGCAGCCAATTCCTGGAGAGAATAGATAACTTTCCCACAAGCACACTTTAAAAAATGCAATCCAGCCAATCTGGAACCTACAGCCCAACCACTTCTTTTACTGGGGCACTCACCCTCTGGGGCACCGTTCTTCTTCCCTGATCACTCCAGGGGCAGGTACCAGACAATAAGGGACAGCCCCTATGCCCCAGAGCCTGCTGAAACCATTCAAACGGGCCAGTCCTAAGGCTGCTTACCCTGCCGCATTAGGAGCCACCAAAAAGGCTCTGACCCACTGTCCCCACTCCCTCTACCCCCGACCCGCCCTGGTGCTCTCCTGTGTGGCCTCCCCTGCGGCGGCCTGGCCCTTCCTCTGGGCACTGTGAGGAGCTAGCTGTCTTTCCTATGGCAATTGTCTCTTGAGCTGTTGGTTTTCTTGGGCCTTGAATTTTCTATAAATACACTACATTTAAAAACCCATAGCTAGATGGAACCGGCTTCACCCAGACCAAAAAACTTTATGTTTCCATTCCAAATTCCAAATTGGAAGAGGACGAGGATAACATCGTGATGATCTGGCGTGTATAGGAAGAAACCTGTTTCTTTGAGGGACAGGTGGTACTCACTTTCCAGGGGAACCCGCACTTTGTGGGGGCACCCCGAAAGGCTGCGGTGGTGGGGGTAGAGCCCCGTCACATGTCCTGTGCCATCGCACCCAGGGATGGGGCACTTGGTCTCCCTCTTTTCAGGCCTCGGTGAATCTATGGAGAAATTAAATTGAGAAATGCATTTGGTTTCTTAGTTCCCTTCCCATTCAATAGAATGGCCTTGCAGGGTGACATTCTCACTGTATTCACTTTCACTGTCATAAACACTCTTCTCACATTGCCTTGAATAAGACCCTCAACTAAGACCTGTGGAAACAGAAAACATGTTTTCAATTTTCTTGGTTTCCTAAGCGAAGGCTGACACAGGGCAAGGGAGTGTTAAAATACAGAGATGGTTTTACGTTGTCATGTCACATATTGTAGTTAGAGCCTCATTATGAAAAATCAGCCCTGTGCCAGGGGATGAACGGCTCCCAAAAAGAAAAAAAAAAGTGAGGCAGAATTTATTCAAACAAAACCATTTCTTATTGAAAGTCTAGAAAGAGCCAGATTCAAAATGACAAAAACGAAGAAAACACTGTATCTGCGAACGGCCCGTCTGGCCTTGGCCCTGCGGGTCCCTGGGCTTGGGGGTAGACAGCAGAGCAGCTGGCGGAGTTAGGACAGGGCAAGGACACTGGCTGGGGTCCTGTCTGTCCAGTGCTGGTGATGCACGGTCTCAACATTCCAACACCCCCACAGGTTGCCACTTAGGGTCAGCGTGCAGGGAGTGCGGGGAAGAAGCTGCTGATCCCGCTCTAAATGCAGAATCTGAAAACTGAGGCAGCAAGAAGACTTGGAAGGGAAATGTTCTTGCGGGAGACTTACATAAAATAGAAGTGCAAAGACCGCAGGCCGCTGAGCAGCGGTCCAGGGAGCATCCCCAGGAGCACCAGTGTGGGCGTGGCTCACAGGAGCAGCCAGGCATGGCAAGGGACACCTGCTGATGCATTTTCTGGGACCTGGTCGGGGGGAGGGTGAGGCTGCAGACAAGATTGAGGTTTGATTTTCTGGCACACACTTTGCCACATGTTAAAGGGTTATATAAATATATGCAATAAATGAGGACCAAACATGAATGCTGGTGAGCTTAGAGCTAACACAGATGATGCTTATTCAGAAATGTTCACATGCGTGACTGAGATGGCAGATAAAGGTGAAACACAGATGTACTCACAGAGCCAAAATTGCCTTCCTAACTTGTGTGGGAATAACCTCAACCACGAGGAGAGCCTGTCCCGCAGCACTTGGGGCATGAAGAAGAGGGAGCACCAGAAGATGGACAGAAGCCCTCAAGGAGGAGCAATGCGGGAGGAAAGGAGGCTATCGGGGTCTGCATCACGGAGCCTCAGGTATAATGAGCACACTGGACGTGTAGATGTGAAGAGTGGAAACAGCCGGTGTGGTCCTGCCCAAGAAGATGCTGGCGATGGAGCATGGGGCCTGCGTGTGCTCCTGTGCAATGGGGCACAGGGGCTGGCCACTGTCATGGGATGTGGCAGACGTCTCTGGGGAGCTGTACTGCGAGAGCAGACGTGCCCTCTGCGATACCATGGCACCCCAGTTGCTGGAAGATAAACAGTCCTGGGCAGATGGGGCACAGCAGGTTGTATGTAATGCAATTATATGGGGCATGGATTCAGCAGAAGGGGAAGAGCCAAGGATCCTTTGAGTCGTCCCGCACTGCAGGTCGGGGAGGTCAGGAGACAATTCGGGAAGTTCTAAATGAGCAAGGAATGGCCAGCTGATGGGGCTGTGGCCAGCAGCGGGCATTTACGCTAAGGAAAGACAGGACCTAAATGTGCTGCTGTCGACCCTGTTCTCTTTGCATTTTGTAAGAGACAAATTAAGAGTTTTGTGATGCTCTATGATTTGTGGATATATGTTTTATTTAATCCAAAAATAGTGCCAAATTTCAAGTGAATGTGAAGTCTGCAGACCACTAGGTCCAGATTCCTAAAGTCTGATTAGAGGAACTGATGGGGCTGACGCCATAGCATAGTAAGTTAGAAAAAAGGAGACAAGAAATCATGTGTATTTCGATGCCCTTCCTCCCTTGGACCTTGCCCAGGTAAGGCCACATTTCTAAAGCACATTGAAAGGATTGGCGGCGGGAACTTCCCCTCCTTGCCACACTGTCTGCAGGAAGCCGGAGAGGGTGCTGGAGATAAGGCAGGCTGGCTCCTGCCCAGGTGCGGCCCACTGACAGTTCACGGTGCCCCTTTGTCTGCAAGTCCCTCCTCTGCCGGGCAGAACAAAGATGCAGGGAAATGCTCTGGAGGGTAGAACCTGTCTGCATGATAAGAAGCCAGAGCCGGAGCTTGGGGCGACTCTCAAGCTTGGCTCGTCCTCTGTTTTCTTTACACAACATTGCATAATGAGGGTGACCTTACACTCTGGTGATATTCACCTTGGTTTTCCTGGGACTGTCCTCATTCACACCTGAGGTACTCATGTAATGATTCATAGCGCTCCCCTTTTCATAGGCGGGACAATCAATGACGTGGCGACTCTACTTACATTGCAACCGACATCTCACTAAATGCTTAGTAGCAAGAGTCTAACCACGCTAATTTTAGAGTTGCTGAGTCATCTAAGAGCTGGGTAAAATGAGGTTTTAACATTCTTGCCTTCTTTCCTCAACAGCGAAGTTGCACGGGCAGTGTCTGGGGAGTTGGGATGGTATTTTGGAGAAAATGGCTCAGCTGGGATGAGCATTGACTTAGAGCATGGAATTCATGTCAGAGAGAAAAAAACACCCTTCTTGGGCCATTGGATCCCACGCTGGGAACAAGGAACAGGAAAGGGAATACTCAGTCTGGACTCTGCCGGCCTTCTCTAGACCAAGCCTGTGATTCCTCTGCAATGTGGGCTCCGCCTTCTTCGCCTGTTTTGCTGACCAGCCTGCCTTGCAGAGGCTGCCTCCATGCCTTAGGCACTAGGATAGACTGCTGATTCATCCAGTCCTGCTAGGAATTCAGCAAGCCTCCAACCCGCCCAAATGTTTACAAACGCAAATTATATACCCTTAATTTTTGGAAAAAAAAAAAGAAGTTTCAAAAGCTCTATAAAAATATCCGAAGGATCATCAAATACTTTAAGCTGTGGCTCAAACAAGGTTCTCTAAAGACTAGGTTTCGTTGCCTGTAAGGTATCATCGATTGTAAAACATAACAAAATAAAACATCGTTTTGTGTACTACTTAGGAAGAAGAAAATGGCAGGTAATTAAATTACAGCATACCCTTCTGAGTTCAGAGGTGACAAAACAGAGGGATGGTGATGCCTGTAATCCCAGCACTTCGGGAGGCCGTGGGGGGAGGATCACATTTGAGACCAGCCTGGCTGACATGGCCAAACCCCATCTCTACTGAAAATATAAACATTAGCTGAGTGTGGGGATGGGCACCTGTAATCCCAGGTACTCGGGAGGCTGATTGATGCAGGAGAATCACTTGAACCCAGGAGACAGAGGTTTCAATGAGTTGAGACCATGCCATTGCACTCCAGCGTAAGCAACAGAGCGAAACTGTCTCAAAAAAAAAAAGGAGAAATGATATCTCTTAGGATCACTAAAATATAGTGTATAAGAAATTGTGGATTTGGGGAAATTTGAGTAGATTTCATCTTTTTTCTGATTTTGTAGTTTACTTAGAAAGTTAAATACAATAAGTTGCACATTAGTGGGAGTGCACAGAGCTGGAGACAGTGTCCTGTCCTGAACCGCAGGCTAGTCATTAATATTCCGTCCCCTGCAACCCTTGCAGGATGCTCGCATGGCGTTATCTCGCTCCTCGCTACATGACACCATTTTATCCTTTTTTCTTTCCTCAGCTCTGAGCCGCAAGACATCATTTGTGCAGATTGCAGGTGAGTACTAAAACGGATTGAAAATGACAGAACATACCATTGGTTTCTGGACGACTCTCAGCAATCAGAACTTCTCAGCCACACGAACATGTTATTCTTGTAAGCTCCTTGAGTTCACTGCCCTGATTTTTTCTAAGGTACTCCTCCCCCTAATTCTGCGGCTCTCAGGTTTCAGAGAGACCAATAATCACCCGGAAACTTATGGAAAAAGGAAAAACAAGTTATGTCGCACTGATGATGAGGGGATCTGGAAATCCTCATCTCAATCAAGCACTGTGGGCACTAAGGACGCTGCTGGGACGCTCCGTAAGACTGCTGGAAACAGCCTCAGGCCCATCTGGCACAAGACTCCGGGGAGAAGGAGCGGGGAAATGCTTCAGTGAAGCAGAGACCCGGGTTCCCCAAGGTCTGAAGAACAATTCTAAAGTCTCCTCAAAGCACATCTACTCTCATTCAAGTCTGGCCCTGAGATGTATAGGACCTGAGTTAGATAGCCGGTCTCATCAACACAGTAACAGCCAGGTTTATCCCAAAGGACCAGAGCATTCTGCCTGGATTGCGACTTAGATAATCCAAGAATGAGGGTGGGAAAGAAAAGTGAGGTTTCTGGAACTGATGTGGCAAAATGAGTGATTTAAGAGCCAGTCAATCCTGAGGACGTTGTCCGACAACGTCGAACAACGTGATTCCTAAAGGTACGACACATTTTTAAAAAGCAGTTAAGTTAAAAGAAATAGATGCAATGAATCTTTTCTCATGTGTGAAAATACTCCAAAACTAACACAGCTTGATCGGAGGATAATCTAGAGAGTGGGGGCAAAGAAAGAAATAGTTTATTTTATAATTATAAATTGATTTTTAAGTTGCATTAAATTGTCAAAAAGCTACCTGAAAAAATAATCAAATCTGACCTTTTTCCAAACCCTAAAGCACTCTTATTCCTAAAATAAATGCAAAAATGTGTCTTACGTTTATTGTTAAAGATTTGTCTTCCACCCACGTCAACGACTTTGGTTTGCCTCCTTTCCCTGGCTAGGTGCTCCAGCAGGAACCTGTCGAGCTCTTTGTAGGTGTTACGGAAAACACAGCCTCGCTCAGCCTGCAGAGCGATTGCCTGCTCCAGCAAACTTAAGTTCCCCTTGGCCTTTTCCAGGTCTTTAGACTCCTCCGTCATTGCTGCCAGGCTCTCGCTGTCTTCCTCGCCAGCATCGGGGAATGAGGGCCGGGCACTGCCATCCAGAGGTTCCGCGTGAGCATTCTGAGGGTCTTTCCTTTCTGTTTCAGGATCACACCTGTTCTCGCAAGGGATAAACTTGTCACCTTCAGTTTTTATTTCAGGAACTTCCAACAGGTCTTTTTTATGGTCTGTTAAAACGTACTTTGGGGCCCCAGGTGGTTTGGTTTCTTCTGAGAAGTTGGAGCCACTGTCCCAGCCATTTTCCGCACTTTCCGAGTGACTTTCACTGTCATCAGAGGAGCAGAACGGTGGCTGAGAGTCCTCGATCTTGTCTCTTCCATCATCAGAATGAATCAGAAAGCATTCTTCTGCTTCGTCACTCTCTGCTCTTAAACACTGGATGCCACTGTCATTTAAGTTTTCACTTATGGTCTGAACAGATACATTTTTTTCAAATTTCCCCAAGTGCATTAAAGACTTGACCACGAGCTCCTGATAACAAGAGTATCTGTCTTCCTTCCTACTGGAGTTTTCTTGTGGAGTTGAAAGAAGACTTTCATCCATAGATTTTATCACGATTTCCTCTGTAGAAAAAGAAAACCAATATTTGAAGAGCAAAAAATACATATTGCAGGAAAACTGCACCAAGTTATATGTATATAAACATATGTATTCATATACATATGCATACACACATACATACATGTACACATATACATACATAGCATGTGTAATATGTCATCTCTATTAATTTTATAAACATTGATGAGAGAAACACGTATCCTCTTAAAAGAAAACTTAGACCTTAATATTCTGAGAATTGTGTCAAAAGAAATGAGCTATTATAATTTCCAACATGTTAAGAGCTAAGTGTGTCTGGGGTACTGACCAAGACAAGAAGTAGATACTTAACGATAATAGTGTTTGCTGAATGTGAAATCATTGCTGCTGTACTTCTCTTATTCCCAACTCTTAGCCAATCAGAAGAAAATCAAATATATCTAACAGTATACACTGTAAAGGCAAGGTTACTCAGCTTCTCTGTTAGCATGGCAATGTATTTCCAAAGCCATTTGGTTTATGTTCTCTACTCTCTAGTCTTTCTCAGACATGCTTTCAGATTTCATGGAATGTTCGCTAAGATGCAAAATAATCTTCCTGAAACTTTCAAGACTTTCTGTTTACCTTTGTAATTGTCAGCCTAAAATTCCATATTGAAGGAAACACAAACAGGAAGATCAGCATGATCAAATCCTATCTCAAATAGTAACACATTTTCTGGTCCATGACTTGCTGCATTTGTGTAAAGAGAAAATGAGACAAGGTGGGGCTGTTGGAGGGTGCTGGACAGTAGGTAACCAGCCGTTCTCAGTACCAGGCTGCTTGGGTCCAGAATGTGAAGGCACCCCATGAGGAGCCCCCTGCCCCGTGCCTGTCTGTCCAGGACAGTCCCTGGGGTGCCTGCTGTCCCAGGCAACCATTGTTGCCATGTTACCCCCTTTAGCTCTGGGAGTGGCTAGGTTGGGGTGACGGAGTGTATAGATGACAATCAGCCTACCCAAGCCCGTCGCGGTGCAAGACACAGCAAGTGAGGTGCGGAATTATAGGTGACTCCGTCCCAGGCCCAGGCACGTGGGGTGTGCCCAGCGCACACCAGGCTTTGAAGTGCCTGCAACAGCCCCCAGACACCCCAAAAATAGGAGGACTGCTTCTGTGTCTCAAAGGCCGGGTGGGGGGATGGGAAGCACCCGATAATAAGCCCCATTAAAGACTGTCAGATACAGCAAGAGCAGTGCATTCTGCGCTAATAAACGTCTTTGGAGAGAAGAAAAGCACAGCCATCCGGTGTGAGCGCTGACGGAGAGGGTGTCTGTGTGGAAGACAATGTGTCTTTTTGGTCTCATTTAATTTTTTATAAACACTGTGTCCGACAAGGACACTCAGAAATACATCTCCATCATCTTCCTTTCTGGTAATTATCTCCCTAAATCAACACTGGCCTGCCAGGATCAAGTAAATATTGCCATAGTAACTAAAAGCATTTTTGGATGAAGGGAAGAATTCAGCCACAACACTAGCCCCTGTAAATAATGCTGATTATAGGGTGCAGTCTTTTGTTGGGATCTATTCAACATAAACTGAAAAATTTAACATTTTAGTTCCTAGAAAAGAGGATGGATAAACAGGCACATAATATTTGATAGGATGGCCTATCCTCTCCTGAATTCATATCGGAGGAACTCCAGGTTTAAATAATATATTAAACACAGTCTAAAATGCAAATGAAGTTTTTCTCAATATCACAGTTGGCTATTAAGAGAAAGTGTAAAGGGTTATGATAATTTTAAAGTATTATGAACTACAGAAAACAAATAAAAAGCATTTTCAGTGAATATGCTCAATTCATTGAACTATTCTCTCACTGCACTTAACTACCCACATGTGTACGATAATGATTTATAGACATTATACCTAATTATGCATATTTGGGCTGTGTTAGAGTGCTAACAAAAGCTCTAGAAAGCAACAATTACCTCTGTTGCTTAGCTACATAGTTTAAAATATTCCTATTAAGTGCAGATCACCAGAGAGGCGGGACTGACAAAAACGCACATGTGCACGACATTTCACTGTGCCGCTGCCAACTGCTCGCATTTTGGGTCACTTCCAGTTCACATAATTGTTTGGTTCAACTGTTTGTTATATGCTAAAAGAAAATATTTATTAATTATTCCTCAGAAAAAGAGGAGCCCCACCGACAGAGGTGCCTACGTGCACTGCACGTGCGGGTTTCTGGTGATGTTGTGCAAATCTGCAGACCAACTTTCCACATCCTCCCCCTCCCAGGCTTTCGCCGGAGCCATAAGGAAAAAAGTTGGGTCTGCTCTGGAAGCGGAGAGATCTGTGATGGCGTGCTTGTTTTCCCCAGCTTTGTGGCGGGCTGTCTGCATTTTCTCAGGCTGCGTGTGTCTATTTTCCTTGGGGGCCTGGTGATTTATTTAGTGCCTCTACCACTGAACCAACATGAAGAGCCCTGTCGTTAGCATCAGGTGGACCCAGGCTTGAGTTCTGATCCTGGCGCCCTTTCTTGCGAGCTGAGTGGGGCCGCGTCACCCGCCTGAGCTTGGCGCCACCATTGACGCATTGAGGAGAACAGTTATCACCCTGTAGGGGCCACAAGGGAATAGCCAACAGATATCCAGTCAAGGGTGGCTTTCTTGTCCCTGCCCCAGGTATTATTTTAGAAGGTAGTCATGGCATGGGTTGTATGAAACCCTTACCATAAATAAGATAGGCTTGTTGGCTTGTTTTTTACCTAGGATAATTCCTAACATTGACCCCCAAGGGTCCCACTATCGAGAAGACTCACTCAGTTCATCCCCACTCCCAGCACAGTATGCCATGTTCACCAGCTGCCTTTGGAAACTGGGAGTGAGTGTACAATGTGCAATGTGGAGGGAGAAATGTCTAGGGGGTTGAGGTGGTGTGGCTGGCCTGGACTGCCTGCTGCGTGACCTTGGACAGGCCCTTGGTTCCCTGAGACTGGGTCTTCATCTTCGAAACAAGGAAGATCCAATGATCTGATGACTGCATTAGATCAGTCCAAGGATCCCTCTTAGGACAACAAACTGTTTCTGGCCTGGTGTTCAGCTGTGTATTTCATTTAATTGTCACAATAAGCACAAGAAAGGCGCTTTCGACTCCAGCGCACACAAGGGAAACTGCAGTTCTGTGGAGGGCAGGGCTTGCTTGAGACCACGTGGCCAGCCAGGGCCCATCACTGCAGGTCCCGCAGCCACAGAGGCTTCTGTCCTGTTTTGGAAACACAGCGGCCCTTAGGAGAAATGGCTAAGAACACGAGTAGCTCATGATTTTCCCAAGTTTGAATATTTTCGAGCATGAATTTATGTGAAGATACTAGAATGCAATTGTCAGCTAACTTTCAATAAGAAGAACGACGATGCTGAAATTATAAATAAACAACACAACAAAATAGAAACCAACAAGAGAATCAGCCTCAACTTTCTTAACAGCAAAACTCCAATAGGTCAGAAAATTTCTAGGGTCAGCTCTTGGCGGGCCATAACCAGAGGGTTACAGGCAGAGAGCAGACTGTTCACTGGTCCAGGACTTTCTCCATCCTGAGCGCATTTAGAGTGTGGGGAGGGAGCAGGGGCTGGAGCTGGGATGCTTTTCTACAGCGAAAAGTAAATGCGTCCGCCTGATACACACAAGTGCACGGTTGTTTATTTACTTTAAACCAAGACCTCGACTCGGAGTTTTCTGATAATCCCACAGATGATGCTAACGAGTCCTGGCATAGATGCTGGCTGTTCTGCCACGATTCGGCTTTAAAACATCCTCTGAAAGTCACAACACATTTTGAGTTTGTCTCCTTTGGTAACTGGATTTTACTATAATTGGATTTCAGTTCCTTTTCTGTAACTAGCTAGGTTCCTTTTATAGGTAAATCAGTTTTCCAGGCCTCTTGAATATGTACATTTTACTGGGAATAAAAGCCTTGGAAAAATGAATTCATCTTTCAAAGTTCAGAAAGCGGAGTGGTTGACCTCTTATTTGCTGTCTGTTGGAAGACAATATACGTTGAAAGTGTTCTTCCAGCCCTTAAAACTTCTATGACTATGGCGAATTTCCCCATGAGTTTGTGGTTATGCTGCTGGGGACCCCACACCTGGGCTTGGATCATCTTCCTTCTAGCGACTCTCATTCTCCCTGCCTGTGTCAGGAAAGCCCATCTTATTGCTCTTCCTCCTTTCTGTAGTACTTGCAAGCTCATCTCCCAAGGAGGGAAGGGGTAACTGCATGGCTCGTCCACGTTTTGGTCTATCCCCTTAACAGGGACCTGGATCGTTTTGAAAGATGGCAGCTTGAGGATATAGATGAAGTTTCTGCCATAAAATGGAATAAAACTTTGCAGCATTGACACTCCTGACCTCAGTCTCTTCCTGAGCACTAGCCCTTCTCTTACCATCTGAGCTTCCCAGTTGCAGATGATATAACTGGGACATACCTGGTCAGGTAAATACCCTGGGGTACCCAGAGTAAATGAGAGACTAGATGAAAAGTCCTATGCTGGCTTAGGCACTAACCCAGCTCTCTTTCCTCCTAGGAGGGTGGGGGGCAACTTGTTCAGAGGGCTGAAGGCAACTTAGAATGTTTGTTCTTTTGACCAGGCACGGGTCCTGCCATTACCGGAAATTGTAACTTCATGATTTGACATTGTAGGAAATTTGCCCAGCCTGGAGTCTGAAGGTAGTCATTGCCTGAGGACAACTGAATTACAGAGCACAGTTAGCTGGAAATAATTATTTTGCTTGTCCTTCCTATCGCTTCCTAATTACCTTCCTTCTAACACCTATAAGGTGCATTACCTTCTGCATCAAATCTCTTTAGTCCCCAATGATTTCATCTGTACAACTGTGCCCATAAGCACACACACTGGTGGCATTATGTGGAGTAAATGATATCATTTATGTGTCTGGAATATATTAAGAACCCAAAACCAGTGGTCACCCCTGTTGTAATTTTAGCATATTCATTATTATTATTACTAGTGGTTCTAATACGAAGTATAAAAATTGTTAACCTATTTTTGTGAACCTGCAAACAGATGCCCATCAGTGCTTGTGACTGTATGTTTAACTGGAGTACATCTGGACAATATATTCACCCAGTTAACATTAAACATGTACTGTTATCCACAAACCACAATGGAAGGTGGCAAGTCAGCGACCAGATGTAGTCGTCTTCACAGCACTTCGAAGAACATGCTGATGCAAAAGCACACACATTTTCTTAAATACTTGACTCATTAATGCCAGCTGGAGGCATTATACTGCAAGTCTAACCACAAATGAGTCAGACTTTCCCTAATACTAGATTCAACCTGCAAATTTTCATGAATCAACAAGTAAAACTGAGCCAGGAGCAGTGGCTCACATTTGTTATCCCAGCACTTTGGGAGGCTGAGGCAGGTGATCGCTTTAGATCACAAGTTCGAGACCAGCCTAGCTAACATAGTGAAACCCTGTCTCTACCAAAATTTAGCTGGACGTGGCTGTTATCCCAGCTACTCAGGTGGTTGAGGCAGGAGAATCCCTGAATCTGGGAGGCAAAGGTTGCAGTGAGCCGAGATCACATCATTGCACTCCAGCCTGAACGGCTGAATGAGACTTCATCTCAAAAAACAAAACAAAACAAACACACAAACAAAAAACAAACAAATAAAACTGATCAGTTCAAGGAAACAAAAAAGTCAAGTGTAATTATAATTTACAGATGAGCTATGAGGCTTCAAACCACATGATAAACGCAGCAAAGCCAAATAATTTACTTAAACACCTTCAAATCAGAATACAACTTTGTTTTAACCACAGAATTGCCAACTCTACTTCAAAGCCAATATTACTGGATCCAGGATGATTCTGACCTGAGATCCAGGCTCACTCATAAATATACTTTAAAATCTTTTCTATTAATTTTTATTGCTAAGTGTAATTTTATATGCCATAAAAATTTATTACATAAGAATCTCATTGCCTTTTGTTTGCATAATTAACACTTCTTCTTAAGTAACAAAGTATTTTGATTTCTTTAAAATTCACATTCAGAAAAAAAAAATTAGGTTTAGTAGAATATATACCTAGTTTCATTTTCTACTGTCAAGTTTCAGATCTTAATCGTTTTCTCTAATTTTTCGGATTTTTTGCACATCCCTCAGCGTCGGCCTCATTGCCGAAAGTGATCAATGACATTCCAATTCCCAGAGGCACGTGACTGCCAGGAACTAAAGTCAGTAATAGTCAGTGGGGAGGAAAGAAACCCTAAAGTTTTGAAACAGTAAACACATTTCACTTAGCACACAAAGGGTGTTTGATGAATAAGTGCAGAAGTGAATCAATGAACTAAAACGTGTACCTAAAAGGAAACTTACATCATTTATGTTTGAAATAATGGGTACAGGGATACCTTTTCTGTGATACATCATTTTCTGTCAGTCTCCTTCTGAAGAAGACTCTAATCTGCCAACTTTAGGTTGCTTCTGTAGTCGATTGCTGTAAGCATTTATTCAAAAAGAATGAAAAATATTAAGGTCACAGACCACTTTGCATCGGTTCATGTTGTTTTGGAGCAAATACCATACATGTTGATTTAAAAAATAAAAAAACATGGCTAGCCATGTGCAGAAAGCAGAAACTGGACCCCTTCCTGACACCTTACACTAAAATTAACTCCAGATGGATTAAAGACTTAAACATAAGACCTGGCACCATAAAAACCCTAGAAGAAAATCTAGGCAAAACCATTCAGGACATAGGAGTAGGCAAGGACTTCATGAACAAAACACCGAAAGCATTGGCAACAAAAGCCAAAATAGACAAATGGGACCTAATCAAACTCCACAGCTTCTGCACAGCAAAAGAAACAGTCACTAGAGTGAATCGGCAACCAACAGAATGGGAAAAAATTTTTGCAGTTTACCCATCTGACAAAGGGCTGATATCCAGAATTTACAAAGAACTAACACAGATTTACAAGAAAAAAACAAACAAGCCCATTCAAAAATGGGAAACGGATATGAACAGACACTTTACAAAAGAAGACATACATGAGGCCAACAAACATATGAAAAAATGCTCATCAACACTGGTCATCAGAGAGATGCAAATCAAAACCACATTGAGATACCATCTCACACCAGTTAGAATGGTGATCATTAAAAAATCTGGAGACAACAGATACTGGAGAGGATGTGGAGAAATAGGAACACTTTTACACTGCTGGTGGGAGTGTAAATTAGTTCAACCATTGTGGAAAACAGTGTGGCGATTCCTCAAGGCCTTAGAAATAGAAATTCCATTTGACCCAGCAATCCCATTACTGGGTATATATCCAAAAGATTATAAATCGTTCTACTATAAGGACACATGTACACGAATGTTCATTGCAGCACTGTTTACAGTAGCAAAGACCTGGAACCAACCCAAATGCCCATCGATGATAGACTGGACTGGGAAAATGTGGCACATATACACCATGGAATATTATGCAGCAATCAGAAATGATGAGTTCGTGTCGTTTGTAGGGACATGGATGAATCTGGAGAACATCATCCTCAGCAAACTGACACAAGAACAGAAAATGAAATACTGCATATTCTTACTTGTAGGCAGGTGATGAACAATGGGAACACATGGACACAGGGAAGGGAGCACTACACACTGGGGTCTGTTGGGGGGAATAGGGGAGGGACAGCAGTGGGGGAGCTGGGGAGCGATAGCATGGGGAGAAATGCCAGATGTGGGTGAAGGGGAGGAAGGCAGCAAATCACACTGCCATGTGTGTACCCCAAAACCTAAAATGTAATTAAAAAATAAATAAATAAAATAAAAAAACAAATGTTTTAGCTGTAATATATTACATATATTATAATCATTGATTAACATTATACATAACTTGCTCATTACAAAGGTGTCTTAAAGCTTAAATACACCCTTGAATTTAAAAAATTCTTCCAAAAATCTCCCTGCTAGGGAGACTCTTCAACTCTAAGACTTAGTATCTTGTATTTTCTTCAAAAAAGGCATAGTCCAGTCCTCTGCTCTTGAAAATGGATAGGGCAAGGACTCTCCACAGGTACTGATTTAAAATGAGTCCTAATAAATGAACGTCAAGTAAAATAAATGTTTCATTTTTCTTCCAAATCTAAATATGCTCTTCCAGTCACACAAGCCACATGCTCTACATGAATGAGGACAGAGTCCCTAGAGCCAGGGAGTGGGTCGGGTCTGGGCTGTCGTCCACGGTACCTGTGGTAGAGTGATCGTGTGTTTCCAGCGGGCCATCGTCCTCCGTCCTGTCGCCACGGTCTTCTTGGCAGTCCGTGTTTGGGCTGTAGTGTCGGGGCTTCATTAGCAGGGATTTCCTTTTGTTGACTGGGACTCCCAAAGCCTGATCTTCAGCTCTCCTCTTCTTTGCCATGGAGCAATCACAGGCAACACTGTAGTGATTGAGGCAAATTAAGAATATGGTCAACGAGCCTGTATGCTGTTTGGCATTTGACTTTCATGCAGTCTAACCTAAAGCCCCTGGAAACTTGGGGCTAGAGGTTTAGGGTTAGTCACTGGCACTAACAAAAACGTCCCATCTGTGGAATCCATCAAACTGTGTGGATTCTACTTGACTGCCTATCAGAAGAGTTGTTTTTTTTTTTTTTTTAAATCATCCTTAATCCCGAGTAAGCATATGTTAATCTGTGCTTTGCTTCGCACTACACTAAATACCCAGGGAGGGATGAAACAAGATTTGCACTGGTTTGCTAATCCTAAGAAACAGCTAATGTGAAAAATATACCACCAAATACAAAAAAAAAAAATGTGTCCAGTATGGATAAATCACAAGGGTTCTCAAATAGTTATTTGCTACTGAAACTGCTTATCTCTGCCATAGTCGTGGCTCAAACTTGAAATGTCACACATCTTGGGCTTTGACTTGAAAGGCGGGCCCACAGAGCAAGGGGCAAGCTATGAGCCTCCTGTCCGCTCCTCTCCAGTCATCAAACACACAAAAAGTGAAAAGATGCTACGTGGCATCCTGCCTCCTGATTCTCACTCACTTGGCACACAGAACAAATAAAAGCAGGAGAAATAAGATTGGATTTCACAAAAATGGACAACAGTTTTTCCTCACTCCTCTTTTCATATGGCATTATTTGGAAATGCTCCTGAGGGTGGCCCTTTCAAAATAGGTTTCCTACATACAGCTCACTCAGAATTAATGCAGATCACTCTATGTGTGAAGCTAAGACAAACATTCTCCTGGCAAGATCCATGAAAATCAGAGGGTTTAGCCAACTGCGAGTCTGTGAGAGATATTTATTAAATGTACTTTGAAGAAAAATGGGGAGCTTTACATGAAAAGATCCAGAGGAGAGAAATCTAGATTCAGAATAAAGACACAGGACTTACTCCATCTCTAAAAGATGACCAAATCCTCAGGAATGTTACCCAAATAAAGAAAGGCCTTAGACCATTATTTTATAAACATCACACAAAGGATGGTGGTCTATTCATGAAAACGACTCAGTTATAGTCACACGGGGGCTCTTGGCTTTAGAAGAGTAGCTTCAAAAACTTCCAAGGGGGGAAAAAGCATCATTTCTTTTAAGAAAGAAAAAAAAAGGATTCTGGAAGAAGACATAATTCAAGAGCTGAAAATGTCTTGAAGAAGATTGAAAAGTGTAGAATTGAAAAACACCTTGATGAGTAAAAGAAGAAGGAAGTTTCTAAATCAAGCAGTGTGCTTTCACAAAACTTCTCTGATGAGCCCGAATTTAAAGGGACCCCATACAGAATATGGAGCAAAACAGAATATAACCAGATGCCTGTGAGTGCACACACTGCCGTGATCAGACCGGGCAGAAAGTGCGGACCTACATGGACTGCCTCTGCTCGTTTGCCAAGGAAAAGGCACGTCTACACCGTAGACTATGGTGTAGGGAGAGCCAGCACGGAGAAGCAGGAACACCCTTATGCTTGCCTTCTTTGTCAAAGGGGACTGGCTTTGAGGGGCTCCAGGAGGAGGCAGAACACACAGATCAAAGGGGCACAGAGTTCCTAGAGAAACTACCAACTTCTTGAAACTCTTGAAGAGAGTCAAACAGGTTCCCTAAAGTGGTTAAAGTACCCTAAGTCCAATGCATTTCCACCAAAAACATCCTTACAAAATATAAAAGTAAGATCACTAAGGCATTACATGAGCCAAGGTTTGCAGCAAGTGAGAGAGACTCCTATGTGGTTCAGATATTAAAAGCAGGGGAAAGAAGTATGTTCTGAAAATCACAGTCATTGAAGCATAACGCTGGTATTGGGGAGAAGGCTATCAAGGGTATTAGAGTGAAAATTTTCCAGGATCCTGATTTCAATTCTTTTGCATAAATACCCAGAATTGGGGCTGCTGGATCATAGGGTAGTTGTATTTTTGAGGAACATTCACGCAGCTTTCTATGTTCATTACATTGCTATGTTCATTGCAACTATTCCCAATAGCCAAGATGTGGAAACCACCTAAATGTCCATGAATAAATGATAAATTGATATGTGGTGCACACATACGATGAAATACTCTTCATTCTTTAAAGAGGAATACAATATGCAACAACACAGATGAAGTGTGAGGATGTTATTCTCAGTGAAATAAGCCAGACAGATGAAAGACAAATACTGAATGAGTACACTATATGTATCTACAATAGTCAAAATTATAAAATTAGAGTGGGATGGTGGTTACCAGGGGTTGGGGGAGGGGGAAACGAGAGTTACTAATCAACAAGCATGACGTTTTAGTCAAGCAAGAGGAATTAGCTCTATAGTCTGCTATTCAACACTGAACGCACAGTCAACTAGTGTACAGCACACTTAAAAATGAGATCTCAGGCTGCGTGTTCTTACCACGATAGAACAGAGGAAGAAGAAGGAGAAAGAGGAGATCGTCTGTTGGCATCAGGAAGCATTGATCAAAGAGACCTCGAATGGTGGGGATGGTTAATAAAAGATTAATCCTCAGAACCAAGTCATTTCTTTCCTTGACGGCTGGTGCGATGAATGGGCCTGAACTCAGACTACCATCGAGAGCCTTACAAACTGTGTGTTGTTAATATCATCTTCCAAATTTACCTATACAAACAAGTAACATTTTCAGAGTCACGTTAACTGCTAATAGTGAGGCCGATATTTGAATCCAAGTCCGTAAGTCCCCAAAGCTCTCGCCCTCTCCTCCATGTTACCACACCAGGACATAGACGTGGGTAATTTCTGCGTGCATCCGACAGCTGGTTACAGCAGAACCTGGATGAAATAGCAATCTCTCGAACTAGAAGAAAGATTCTGGGCACAGGACCTTGCCCAGTGATTTAAGAGAGGATATACGCAACGATCATTCAATGTGAAGAAGATACTGAGTTACAGCAATGAGAAACACCTAGAAAAATGTAACTAAGATGCTCCCAAAACGTCCATAGCCTGGGACAGGAGCATGAACCTGGTAAGATGGCAGTTGATAGCCATAAAAATCAAGTTCAATATTTGGGTCCAAATAATAACTGTGTGAGTGTAGAATAAAGAGGATATGTAAGGTTTTTATCACAACTACAAGTTTAGCTTATTATAAACTATTGTATTTGATAATAAGACTGTGTGAAATTACTTAGGGAATACAGTTAAATCTCGGGAACATCAAATTCTTCATCCACCAAATGGGATAATAACTTCTATATCCACAGGTTGCGTGGATAAAAGAGATAACATCTGTGCTAGCAGTGACAGAAATAGGTAAAGATGGAACTGTCCTGGCTCCCAGCTCAGGGCTCTCTGGATTCCATCAACACTAGCTAATGCTGTCACTTTGCAGCCTCACAAGCTTTCTCCCTGGCACGCTACAGAGATTTATGCATGCATGTATGTCCATAAATGCATTCTACTTTTTAACATATTATTTATATTTACATAAATTGCATTAGATTTACACATAACATTTGCGTTAAGTCTCACATTCTGTGCATTTCTCCATTGGAAAATACCCACGGCCCAGGCAGCATTTGGAGCTAAAATGAAAGGCTTTATAATAAATATTACCCTTTGTGTGTGCATGGAAAATGGTCCCTTTTCCTAGTTTTCCCCGAGGGCACACTATTTTGGCTTTATTGTGACACTTCACTGTGACACTGCAATGAGGGAAAGCCATGCTTTACATGTCACTGAGAGAAATGCCACAAAATGCTAACATATCTTCTCAAGGTTGCCAGAAATCATTTCCACCGGGCTGTGTTTTCCCATCTGTGGAGCTCTGAAATGTTAAGGAAATAAATGAGCTCTATTATCTATATTTTTCTAGTAGATGAGAAAGAAAGAGAAAAAATACACTCAGCCCTGCATTTATTGTTCTATTCAATCAAACTATTGCTTTAAACATCCAACATCCCCCAGGGAACTTTATCAATGCAGAAAATATCTTTCAACTCCATACTTTTCAGGTTTTGATTGTATTAAAATATATTTAAAAGATCTATATTTTTTACCGGAAACTTTTTGATTACATATTTGAGAAATGCTTCTATTTAGAAACTTGAATTCTCACTTGAGACGGTATTTCCTTTGAACAACAGTTGACTGAAATTTTACTTGAAAAATCATGGAAGCAAACGATCATTAGATAACACTGGTGATCAGTTCTGTGCTGGGAGGACGCATAGAAGCCAAATGTGTTGACCTTTCGGGTTTCAGAAAAGATATGTTAGGAAACTGTGAGTCCTCCAAATCTAGAGTTTTCAACTTGTCTACTATTGTAATAGATTCTCAATGCAGTTTTCAGAAGATAGGTAACATATTTGTAAAATGTAGGTTCAGCAATAGATACATTCTGTGCACACATCCCCAAAAGAATAAAATACAAAAATAAACAGAGATTGTGAGCCTCTGAGTCCAAGGAAAACACTTACATGCTCCAACATTTTCATGGCGAATTCATAACAGGTATTCCTACTGATTTCTTCTAATTAGACAGAACACCACAGATTCATTGAAAGGGGCCAAGAAGTATGAATCTGAATAATACTAAGAAGATTGACAGAAAAATAAACAAAGACATGATGATTGAAAAATAAAAAATTAGACTATTATTATTTGCAGAGACATGATTATGTTTGAGGGAAATCCAAAAGAATCTACACATACAATTTAAAAATAAGTAAATTTGGTGAGTTAGCTGTTCAAAAATTAATTGTAGTTCTCTAAACCAGCCACACACAATTAGAAAATAAAAATTTAAAATAATTGACAATAGCATAGAAATATGAAGTGCCTAGGAATAAATCTAACAGATGCACAAAACCTATGCACTGTAAAGAACATGGTAAGAACCTAATGAAGACCTAAATAAATGGAGAGAGGTAATGTGCTCATGGATGAAAAGCCTCAGTATAGCAATTTCAACTCTCGCCTTACT